AGGCTGGCACACTAATTTTCTTTTATTTGTTTATTTATCTATTGCCTGTTCCCTCAGATCCTTATAGCTTATGGAGGCTGCCTTCTCCAAGTGGGTTCAAAGGTGTACCCCTGACCCAGGAATTTGCTTCCTGGGACGAGAGTTAACAGGAGACTCTATTTCACATCCTGGCCCCAGCACATAATTAAGTTACTGCCTTGTTTGAGGTTTTGCTTACAGGGAATACCTTTTTGCTGTTTCTCTTGAACTTTGGAGTTGACCCAGATTAGGGGCTGGCCTTCAACCATTACCTGTAGATACTGCCAGGCCAAGTAGCCAGTACCTCCATGGGAATATGAGTTCATAGGCCAAAATAACCAGATATCTGAAGAAGACAGATACCTCAGAAGGAAAATGACAAACAGGAAACCAATGCCCAAGGTCATGCAGTGCACCCCGGCCTCAGGCACTCCCACTCCAACTTTGCAACCCCATGGACTGCAGCACACCAGGCTTCTCTGTCTTTCACTATCTCCCAGAGTTTGCTCAAATTCATGTCCACTGAGTCAGTGATACCATCCAACCATCTCATCCTCTGTCACCCTCTTCTCCTTCTGCCTTCCATCTTTCCCAGCATCAGAGTCATTTCCAATGAGTCGGCTCTTCGCATCGGGTGGCCAAAGTATTGGAGCTTCAACTTCAGCATCAATCCATCCCATGATTATTCAGGGTTGATTTCCTTTAGGATGGACTGGTTTGATCTCCTTGCAGTCCAAGGGCCTCTCAAGAGTCTTCTCCAACACCACAGTTCAAAAGCATCAATTCTTCAGTGCTCAGCTTTCTTTATAGTCCAACTCTCACATCCATACATGACTACTGGAAAAAACATAGCTTTGACTAGATGGACCTTTGTTGGAAAAGTAATGTCTCTGCTTTTTAATATGCTGTCTAGGTCGGTCATAACTTTTCTTCCAAAGAGCAAGCATTTTTTAATTTCATGACTGCACTCACCATCTGCAGTGATTTTGGAACCCAAGAAAATAATGTCTCTCACTGTTTCCCCATCTATTTGCCATTAAGTGATGGGACCAGATGCCATGATCTTAGCTTTCTGAATGTTGAGCTTTAAGCCAACTTTTTCACTGTTCTCTTTCACTTTCATCAAGAGGCTCTTTAGTTCTTCTTCACTTTCTGCCATAAGGGTGGTGTCATCTGCATATCTGAGGTTATTGATATTTCTCCCAGCAATCTTGATTCCAGCTTGTGATTTATCCAGCCTGGCATTTCACATGATGTACTCTGCATATAAGTTAAATAAGTAGCATGACAATATACAGCCCTGATGTACTCCTTTCCCAATTTAGAACCAGTCTCTTGTTCCATGTCCAGTTCTAACTGTTGCTTCTTAACCTGTTTACAGATTTCTCAGGAGGCAGGTCAGGTGGTCTGGTATTCCCATCTCTTTCAGAATTTTCCACAGTTTGTTGTGATCCACACAGTCAAAGGCTTTTGCATAGTCAATAAAGCAGAAGTAGATGTTTTTTCTGGAACTCTCTTGCTTTTTTGATGATCTAACAGATGTTGGCAATTTGATTTCTGATTCCTCTGCCTTTTCTAAATCCAGCGTGAACATCTGGAAGTTCATGGTTCACACACTGTTGAAGCCTGACTCAGAGAATTTTGAGCATTATTTTGCTAGCATGTGAGATGAGTGCAATTGCGCAGTAGTTTGAACATTCTTTGGTATTGCCTTTCTTTGGGATTGGAATGAAAACTGACCTTTTCCAGGAACCTGAGGCAGAAGTAATCAAATTGATGTTTTCAGGGTACAAGTATTTCTTACATGGTAGTGATTGAAAAGATTCTCTTATTCTACTCTGGGAAGATGCTGACATTAGTCTACATGAAACAAAACTGAAACACAGATGGAAAAACTCAGATGACTGGTTTATTGAAAGCCAATTGTATGAAAGAGAGCATCTACTTATGTGGTGGATGACACTCATGTTTACTTCCAGGTATATTCTTCTCTACTTCTAGGTATACAAAGGATTATACTCCTTCTGCCCTTTAAGTGAGACAGAGCTACTTGATTACTTTAGGTTAATAAAACAGAAATGGAAGTAATGCGTGCATGTCTGGTCATAGCATTTTTTGCATGTCTGGTCATAGCATTTTTCTGTCAGTGATAAACACTCTAGTCCTCTTTCTCTGCTGCATTAAATCCTAAGCCTCACTTTGAGAACTGGGCATGATAAAATGGAATCTGCATCAGTCTACCAATTCATGTTGGATATGTAGCACAAACAAAAAATAAATCTTTGTCATTTTAAGCCAATGGGATTTTAGGGCTGGTTTCCCAAGCTTATCCTGACTGATATAAGTTAGTGTCATAAATGTAGAGTATAATGACCCAAGAAGTTGATGAGAAATAAATATTACATTGATGAGAAATAAATATTCCTGCAGGGAATGTCAAACTCTAAAAATCTGAATACTTATATTTTTAACAACAAAATTGTAGTATTTTTAAATTAGTATTATCTAATATTTATAGTTCATGTTGATCCTGGTATCTCAGAAGTTTATTATATGATAGTGATACTCTGCTTCAGCCAAATACTGATTTTTAACATGTAGCTGTTTTTTTCAGGGGCATGGGATCAAATCCATGCCCCTTGCAGTGGAAGTGTGGCATCTTAACCGTTGGACAGCCATGGAAGTCCCTAATATGTAGCTATTTTCCATTCAGCCAAAATGTATACCTGGTGCCCCTCTAAAAATATATGCTATATAAAATGATATGAATAAAAGCGTGACTGTGCATTCTTTAAGATAGTTACTTGACAGAAAGCTGAAACTATTTGTAAAGTAGATCACATTTATTCTAAGAATACCTTGATCTTTTGGAATACAGATGTTTTTTACTGCCACCTTGCATCCTCTATCTTGTTTTTTCTGCTGCCACCAGCTACCTTCCATGACTGATAAATTCCAGAAACCAGCAGGATTCTATTCAGTGTTTAGTTTTGACTGCTGGATCCCTAATGTGAACATCAAGTCAGTTGAATAAGTAAAAATTTAGGTTGGGAACAGAAAAACACAATCAACTCATTTCCTACATATTTTGGGTAATCAGATAGCCACAAAGTATCTGGTTTTTTTTCCCAGAAAGTGGTCCAGACAAGGCTTCAGGCTAACAAAAGAGAAGCATTTTAATTCTTAATTTTCTCATCATAGGAAAAAACAGTTAAAAACTACAGTCATTATACAAGAGCAAACAAAAGTCAGTTCAAATACAATGGTGTAGCAGTAGTCTTAGTGTAGTTTTAAGCTTCAATAACTTCAGAAGTGCAAACTCTATGAACTTACACATAACATCACTTGAAAAATAAAATTATTTAAATTTCTTTCATGTTTCTTTGGTCTCAGAAATTTTTGAACAGTAAATATAATTCAGTTTTTTGTTTCAGTCAATGGACTAAAAATTTTAAAATTTAAAATTATTCAAAATTCTCCAAGTTAAATAACTGTAAAAGAAATATAAATTTTCAAGTGATGCTTTTTCAAGTTTGTAGCGTTTATACTTCTGAAATTATCAAAACATAAAACTGCATAAAGACTTTTGGGATACCTGTACATGGAAAACTGTGACATCACAGGGTGCTTGAATATAAACTTTTATAATTTTACCCAGCTTTGTTCAAAATAAATTGAAACATTTTATAACAACATATATGCAAGAAGATGTAAAACTGAATCATAAGGTTTCTTGAAGCTTGGAAGAAATGGTGCTAAATTATTAAAACTTTAGGAAAAGTATGAGAGAGTGAGGCAAATGAGTAGCAGTATCTCTCATACAAGTTTCTTGTATTCACTATATTTTTACTTTGCAAGAGGCTGAGGGGGCATTTTTATTTGGGATACTTATTCTTAAGATGGTATTCTCAATATTTCAGTATTAGTATTACTATTGCTTCTGATGCTTTTCCAGAGAGCTAAAACAAGTTTAACTTTTAAAGGCTTGGGCATTAGGAGAATGCAAACAAACAAAAAAAAAAACCACTCCATAAATATTAGTTTTCCTTCCTATTAGAAATCATCTAGTTGACTGGTTCTCAATCTTGCCTGCAAAGTAGAATGACCTGTTTAAAAAATACTGAGGCTTGGGTCCCATTCTGAGATTCTGATTCAATTGGTCTAAGCTACAGAATGGGCATCAGGAGTTTTTAAAGTTCAATGGTGAGCCTAATGTTACAGCCAAGGTTGAGAACCACTGCTCCAGGCCAATATATAATCAAGTACATGTCAACATTCAAAAATATGTAAGGGTGTTTAGAACTTTTTTTTTTTAAGCGTAGCACCAATCTCAAATTTTATAATGGAAAAGGTTGAGAAATGAACCTAAAGCTCAAAAATATGTTGAACAAAATAAGCCGGACACAAAAGAGTACTTATTGTATGATTCTATTAACACAAGGTTTTTAAAAAGAAAACGAGGGGTAGGAATGGGCGGAGGAGGAGAGGATTAACTGGGAAGCAAGCAAAGAAAATTCCCGAGATGGAAAAGTTCTCTATTTTGATTAGGGTACACAGATATATAGTTATCAAAACTCATTGAAACAGTTGAAATCTGTATTGTGTTTTCGCTATGTGTAAATAATGTTTCAATAAAAAGAACGATTGAACATAATTAATTTAAATCTGAATATCTAAGACAGTCTGAGTGGCGGAGACGATTATTATTTCGGATGACCCCAAACTCTCACTAGACTAAAAGGAACTACACACCCCAGACCAGAAACAGAGAGAATGGAGACCAGACAGCAGGGAGGGCCAAAGACTAAGAAATCGCTAGAGGGCTGGAAGCCGTAGGCTAGTTGATGCCTAGACTGCGGCGCCCAAGTGTCCCGCGAAAATAAGCCCCCGTGCACTTTTCCGGTGCGATCCTTGCGGGCCGAATGTGCCACCAGAAGGATCCGGAGGGAAACTTAGGCCACTACGAGAAAGGCACCCGTAGCAGCTTGGTTCCTGCGTAGATGCTGGGGCTGTAGGCGCCGCGCGGTCAGCTGGTTGCAGCTCGCAGGGAGGACGCCGGCGATCGCCTTCCCTGCGCTGCCCCCGCCGCTGCCATGATTCCGGTATCGCTGGTGGTAGTGGTGGTGGGCGGCTGGACAGCCGTCTACCTGACCGACTTGGTGTTGAAGGTGAGGGCCTCGGGCCTAAGGCCCAAGCCCGCGATGCGCAGGGTCAGGGCGCGGGACCCGAGGTCTTTCCCCCTGCCCTGTGTCTCCCGGATTGGAAGCCGTGCGGCCGGTGTCCACTTGCGGCCTTCCGCGTGGCCGGTGGAGTAAATGAAGCACGGCTGGCTGCGGGAGGGGAGTGGCGACCTGCGCAGCAGCCGCAGTCGCATTGCGGGGCTCCGTAGGCCCCGCAGCCTTTGGGTCCTGCCCCGGAGGCGCCGGTAGTGGGCTCGGGAGGGCTCGCCAAACCCCACGACACTGCACCTGGGAGGAAAATAAAATGTCTGCCTGAGAAGGGCAGTTTACCCTCGTCTTTAAGGTCGCGACTCTCCAGAGAGTCTGGTATTGGAATGAATCTAAATCAAGGTGTGATTGACATCAGTGGTTTCAGACTTTAAAATGCGTACGATCGTCTGCAGTTCCGGTTAAAAAGCACATTCTGATTCAGCAGATCTAGGCCGGGGGCCTAAGATTCTGCATTTCTAACCAGTTCCTAACTGCTGCCAATGCCGCTAGTTAACTGACCGCACTTAAAAGTAGCGAGGATTTAGATAACTAAATTCTAACTACTCGAACTCTACTTTGTATCTTAGACGCCGTTTCTTCACGCTAACCCCCCCCTCCTTAATACCCGTCCCCCTCCACCGCCACAGACCGTTCGCACGCAGCCCATTCTTAAGTTACTTGGGTAACGGATATTAACAATTGTCGGACCACAGGCTTCAGGCAGCTTTTTGAAGTTGCATATTGGGGGTGGGGGTATTGTATGCAAGGAATAAAATCATGTAACTTCTCTTAATATTTAATGAAAGTTCCAATTATGACTAGTTCAAACCTTCATGTCATGAATACCGTTTTAAATAGGATGCTGTAGTTTAGTGTGTGTGTTTTAAGTTTAATGTTAGAATGAAATGATACTTAATGTTACTTTGTAGCATTTAAACTTCTGTGTTAGCCGCTCACTTAACGTCTGACTTCTGCAGCCCGCCAGGCTCCACTGTCCATGAAATTCCCCAGGCAAGAATACTGGAGTGAGTAGCCATTCCCTTCTCTAGGGGATTGTCCCCACCCAGGGGTCAAACCTGAGTCTTCCGCATTGCAGGTAGACTCTTTACCATTTGAGCCACCAGGGAAACAAAACTTGCAAAGTGAAAAGAATACAGTAGAATCCTTAGAGAATGGGCTGGGCTTTGCCCCTTCCTAACCAGTGTGACCTTGGGCAAATTCTCTCTGTTCCTCCATTTCTTCATCTTTAAAATAGGTGCAATAGTTGTAAAGACCTCCTGATATTGTAGAGAGGATTATGTTATTCATCCACATAGAACCCATTGCCACTCAAGCTGAGGTTCAAGGACTGGCAGCACTTGCATCATCTGGGAGTTTGTCAGAAATGTAGACTCTCAGGCCTCATTCCTGACCTGCAGAATCAGAATCTGCATCCTCATAAGATCCCCAGGTGCTTCCTCTGCACACACTTGGCATAGTGCTTAGCATGTCATAAGCAGTAATACATGCCAGTGCTTATTTACACAGTGATTTTGTTTGGAAAAAACAAACCCACATGATTTCATGTTGCATATGTGACAGAAATCCAAAATAAAAGTAATTTTTTCAAACCTCTAGTCTAGTCCAGTGTGTGAGGTGATCAGGATGTCACTTTAAGTTCAGTAACAGCCATTTTTTTTTTTGCTTTCCACTTTGATTCTCCATAAGGCATCACTATTATACTCATACATGAACATGTATGTATATATGTGTGTGTGTGTATTTGCTTTTTTAAAAAAAGTACAAATGTTCTCTCAGTAACAGCCCTTAACTCCCTAAGAGAGCATTGTTCTTTGAGCAGAAGACCTAACTCTCATTCAAAGTATCTGCCTGGGGAATGGAAAAATCTTGGGTTTTAGGAGCCTGCCCCTTTAGCTTCTCTGCTCCCAGCTTGGTCTGCTGTTCTACCCATAGTTTGTCTAGGATTTCCTCGGTAGACACCTGGAGGCGTATGTCACTCTCCTTTTCCAAGTCCTAGAAAATATACAGGTTTAAAACTTCACCTGAAGATTGAGAGCAGAGAACATTATGGATCCAAAGGCAAACAGATACCTATATTCACACTCAGATCATATTTTATGACTGATAAGACTGAAATATCCTCCTAGAGACAGAAATTTCTCAAATGGATGGGCATCTATAAGACAAAATACTTATCATACTTACTGTAACAGATAAGAAGTCAGTGACAGTATATATAAAGCAGCCTTATATTGTCCAAAATCCTACATTACTCAATGACTTCAAACTTTCCTAATGATAAAACTGTTCGTTGAGCTGCATATAAGCAGCTGTCTCCCCAACCCCAAACAATGTTAAGGAGTTACTGAGATTAAGATGACTTTAGATAAATTTTGTATTTTTACATGGTCAAATCCAGGCTAAGTCCTTAGGGTTGTTGCTCAAAAGAGTATAGAAAGCACTGATTCCAAATAACCTGTCCCCTCTCTTGGATCGGCTGGGGGTCTTTTTTAATTATAACACAAGACCTCTTGCTGTGTAACAAGGCTTTTAGACCTGTGCTGTCCTGTGCGGTAGCCATTAACTACACGTGGCCATCTCGCATTTGAAATGGGGCTAGTCGGAACTGAGATGTGCTCTTAAGTATAAAGTTGACACTGAATTTCAAGGGCTTAGTGCATAAGTAAGTAAGAAAACAAATAGAATGTGAAATACTTCAATAATTATATTGATTATATTTTGAATGATAATATCTTGGTTATTTTTAGTTAAAAACACTTTTTAAATAATCTGTTTCTATTTGCCTTTTAAATTTTCTTAGCTACTGGAAAATTTTAAATTGCACATGTGACTTGCACTTGTAGCTCACATTATATTTCTTTTGGACAATGCTGTTCTAAGCAAACATTTTTTGCCCATGGGCCATAGTTTGCCAGACCCTGACCTCAGCAGACCAGCTAGTCCAAGACTTATACTTTAATATCCTGAAAAAATAGATAAATGTAAAGCTTTAAAAGTTATAAACATGATTAGTCACTATTTTGCTTTCCTGTAGAAAACACTTCTTTTTTTAAATTTTGTTAAACATTATAAATTGTTCTTCAAATTGAGTGATGTGGAACTTTTCTTTCTCTCTCAGTCATCTGTATATTTTAAGCATTCTTATGAAGACTGGCTGGAAAACAACGGATTGAGCATCTCCCCTTTTCACATAAGATGGCAGACTGCTGTTTTCAATCGTGCCTTTTATAGTTGGGGACGGCGGAAAGCAAGGATACTTTACCAGTGGTATTCTTCATTTTCTCTTTTTTGGTTTAGATTAGTAATTGTGATCCTGATAAATACATGTTAAATGAACTGTTTCCATCCTTTTCAGTTTACTGAGTTTTAAAATTGACCATGTAAAAACTTTCTGGCTTTATATAAATTTATGGGATTGCATCATCATGCTTTGCATACATTCACAGTCAAGATTCTCTGTCTTGATCTGGATGGTGGATACATGGGTGTACATACGTAAAAATTCAGTGAGCTGTATGCTTCAGACTTACACATTTTACCATGGAAGTTAGACATCAATGGAAAGGCAAAATGTATATGGAGCATTTTCCACCAGGAAAAGAGAATTCTCTCCTCCATCATCACACATAGAAACAAGGGTTGTGGGAGTAATAGGGCTCCTATAAGTCTGCAGGCTTTCCTCTGTGCTTCTTCTGTGATACCCATCCAGAGGAAGGATATTTAAAATATTTATCCTACTGTAAGACCAACGCCAGCCAGATTGCAGCAGCAGGGCCCTGGACTCCCTGGCTATGCTAGGTCTAATCCCTTTAATTTAAAATATTTTAAAAATCATTGTTTATAGTGTTTATGGTTAGGAGACTTATAATGCTCTCCGGGACACCGTAGAGACAGTTTCTGTAGCTGAAGAATTTTTAGTATGGGAGTAGAGGGCCTTTGTCTAAATTCCTTTTTGTTAAAAATTTAGCTCCAGCTGGAGTAGAGCTAAATATCAATAATGAGGTCATCAAAAACCAGAAAATGCAACAGCAAATCAAAGCAGACAAAATAGAAATAATGAAGAGCAGAAATCAGTGAAATAGAAGTATACAGTAGAGAAAATCAACAAAGCCAAAAGCTGATTCTTTGAAAAGATTAGTAAAATCGATAAACCCATACCATAACTGATCAACAAAAAAAGAAAACAACCAAAAATCAGAATTGGAGGAAGAAATATTACTATAGATTCTGAGACTCATTTATTTATTTTGACTGTTCTACACAACTTGTGGAATTTTATTAATAGTTCCCCAAGCAGAGATTGAACCCAGGCCCTTAGCAATGACAGCATGGAGTGAGACTCATTTTGAAAGGTAAAGCTATTGTGAGCAGTTCTATACATATACATTTGACAATTTAAATGAAATGGACAAGTTCCTTGAAAAAACACAGCTAATCAAAAAGTTAGAAAATGTAATAGATTATCCCCAACTATAGAAGAATGACTTGTAATTATTAACAGTAGAAGAAACTGTTCTTAAGTTTTACCACATTACTATTTAAGCCCACGACAAAATTCAACTAAAATAAAATCCAAACAGTAGAATTGGTAGATGAAAAAGAATGGATTTCTAAATGTCAAAGAGCTTTCATAACTATGAGAATAAGATCAAAACAATGCTATGTAAATGAGAAAAAAATATGAATGGAAACAAACTTTTTTATTGGGAACAACATTCAGCCTCTTCAGTTATGTGCCATGCTGTGCCTGCTCAGTCGTGTCCCCAACTCTTTGTGACCCCATGGACTGTAGGCCATCAGGCTCCTCTGTCCATGGGGATTCTGCAGACAAGAACACTGGAGTGGGTTGCCATTCCCTTCTCTATGGGATCTTCCTGACCAAGGGATTGACCCCACGTCTCCTGTATGACAAGTGGAATTTTTACCACTGAGCCACCAGGGAAGCCCCCTTCAGTTATGAGAGAATTGTAAATTAGAACTGCTTAAAGAGCCAAGTACCTGTGCTTCAGTCAAGTATCTGAAGTTCAGGTAGGAAAAAGAAGCAAGAGTTGTTGACATTTTTAGACATTATTTTGAAGCAATGAAATGTGGCTGGTTAACATATTTTTTAGTCCGTGGATTGTGAGGGATTGTACATTTATGTAATTTTTTTCCTCCTGACAGGTTCAATTTTGGAATGGTGTTTGGTGTAATTGCCATGTTCAGCTCTTTTTTTCTTCTGGGAAAAACGCTGATACAGACTTTAGGCCAAATGATGGCTGACTCTTCTTATTCCTCCTCCTCCTCTTCCCATTCTTCCTCCTCTTCCTCTTCTTCTTCCTCTTCTTCCTCCTCCTCTTCCTCACTTCACAATGAACAGGTGCTCCAAGTTGTGGTAAGTGCCTTATTACTGCTCTAAGTAGCTTTGTTGAAACATAGATATAATGTATTTCTTCTGGATAGCATAATTCCTATTCATAATATAAATGTGAAAATATATCAAAAGTCTTACAATCTCTCAAATTAGTTGCTTAAACAAAATCATTAGTAAGAATATAGCAAAAAACTGTTGCAATATGTAGTAGTAGGAGGAAGAATAGGAATAGTAATAATAGAACAAATGAACTACCACCAAGACTGTGAACAATTGCACAACTATTAGATTTAATTCATGTTTTTTTCCAGTGCAGATTTGTTTTTTTTAATTGAAATATAATTGCCATACAATAATATATAAGTTATAGGTGTACAATACAGTGATTCACAATTTTTAAAAGTTGTAATCCATTTATAGTTATAAAATATCAACTGTATTCCCTGTGTTGTAAATTGTATCCTTGTAGCTTATTTTATACCTAGTTAGTAATTCATGTTGTCTTCTTGAAGTGTTGAATAATTGTTACTGTCAAGGAGTAAGCATACTGATTTAAAGTCTCTTTAATGTAGAAATAAATTGCATCTTACTCCTATGTGAAGTGTTCCCCTTTATTCTTCATGGCTTTCAGACTGTAAGCAACAATATCCTTTTAATTAAAGGTAAAAGACCTTTTTTATGATCACTGTGATTTCTTGATGTGAAGAATAATATGCTGAGTTGTACTTCTTTGACTGTAAGCTACTTATTATAATTCCCACTTTAAAGAACATGTGTAGACCTATACCCTATCAATTCATGTTTCCAGAGTTTGAAAGGGTACTTTACCACCAAATACCTTTTATCTAAACTTTTTTTCGTTAACAATTTTCATTTCCATGAATCATGGATGTTACATTTTTAATGAAACAGACTGTTAGTGACTTTTTAAAATTGAAGTATAGTTGATTTACAATGTTGTGTGAGTTTCAGGTGTATAGCATAATTCAGTATTTTATTCTTATAGCAATCTAGGGATAAGTATTGTTGTTATCCCTAATTCACAGATGAGAAAACCGAGGCACAGAGCTGTTGAGTCACTTGCCTGTGGTCACAGCTAGTAAATGATGGGTCCATCACTCACCCACCACTGACTTTAAGAAAGACCAATAATCTCTCAAGGAACTATAAAGTAACTTTGACCTGTATCTAAGAAATACATGGTGGAAGGTATAAGTTATAGGAGCTAAGATGGGATATAGAGGCAGGGCCTGGTTTATGAAGGGACATTCTAAGAAGTTTTGATTTTATCTGTATATAAGAAGTCTATGCAAAATGGACTGGAGTAGGGTTTCACTGAAGATGAGGAGACCATTTGAGAGGGCATTCGGAATAATTCATGTTAGAAGTTATAAAGATCTAAACTAAATTAATGGTAAGAAGAATGAAGGGCTGGATTCAAGGGATCTTCTGGAGTGGAGTTCTCAGACCTCAGTGATTAAGTGAATGTGAAGCTGGAGGGAGAAGAAGGAGTTGAGGATGACTCTCAGGCTACGTGATTGGTAATTGTTTGCCAAGGAAGAGAATAGTAGAGAAAGAAGCAAGCTTAGAGGAAATATGATCACTGGCCTGTGACTGCTAGGATTAGAATAGGAATAGGTTTTTTTTTTTTCTTTGACTTTTTAGTTTTATTTTAGTTTAACGAGTTTTTTTGGGGAGGGGTGTTTATTTCAAGAGACATTTATTCATCATCGTAATCAGACTATTACATTTGGCAATCAACAGCATGGGTACAAAAAAACTACGTTAAAACCCTTTGTTGAAATGCTTTACACTTCCCACAGAATAGAAACTGAAATAGCCTATTGTGCAATTAGTCACAAATATAGTCCTCGAGGTTTTTTTTTTTGCCCATACACATGAGCATTGTCTAAAACATGTCTTCTCCGAATCAGCAGGGCCCTGCCACCACTGTACTTGACTGAGTTTACAAATCTGTTGTAACTTGTAGCTTCCTGGTCACTTCTCTGACTCTCATTTCCTGCTAAGCTTTGTTTCCTGGCAGTAATTAAAACCTCCCACTCCCATAGCTACTGCTGCTGCCAGAACCACCATAGCCACCTTGGTTTCATGGTTTGGCAAATTATTGGCCTCTACCACCATAGGGGCCAGAACTTCTGCCTCCAAAGTTTCCTCCTTCATGGGTCCAAACTTGGAAGATTGATTGCTGTAATTGCCAGAATCATTGTAGCTTCTGCAACTTCCAAATTGCTTCCATCATTACCAAATCCATTACAGCCATTCTCACAGCCACCATATCCACCACCACCATGGCTGCCACTGAAGCCACCTGAACCACTGACATTTTCTCCACGACCAAAGTTGACATTCCCACCAAAACCACCTCCATGACTACCACCAAAGTTTCCAGAACCACTTCCACCTCTTTGGCTGGATGAAGCACTAACCATCTCTTGCTTAGATATGGTTTTCCTTATTTTAGAGTTGTAGACATTCACAGTGTGGTATTTCTGAATGACAGTCTTGTCTATGGAGTCATGGTCATCAAAGGTTACAGAAGGCATTCTTTTTGCTGTTGCCTCAGTCATTTTTTTCCCCCATACTGTTCAAAATAACATGTTAGGCACTGTTTTCATTATCTTCTTTAATGCCACCAACAAAAATCTTTTTCACAGTTAAGTGGGTGCCAGGTCTTTGAGTATCTTCTCTTGAGACAGCCCTCTTTGGTTCCACAACTCTTCCATCCACCTTGTGTGGTCTTGCATTCATAATCGAATCCACCCCCTCCACTGTGGTGTATGTGACAAACCCAAAGCTTCTGGAGTGCTTCGTGTTTGGATCCCTCCTTACCACACAGTCTGAGTGTACTCCAAAGCTCAGAGTGGCTCCTCAGACTCACATTGGTTGTTTCAAAACTCAGACCTCTGATGAAGAGCTTCCACAGGCTCTCTGCGCTCTTTGGTAGACTCCAACTTAGACTTGACTGTAGTGGAAGAGACTTCAGTGATGCTTACGCGGCATCATCCACAGGCACAAAGAAGCTAACAGGCTTTTTAAATTAATTTTTTATTTGATAAATTTGACATATTACAATTTGTAAATTTAAGGTGTACAGCATGTTACTTCCATACATTTATTTATTGTAATATTGCCATTGGAGCAATATCTATCAGATTATATTATTATAGTATAGTATTATTGATTTTAGTCTTTATACTGTGCATTAGATCTCTATGGCTTATTTGCTACTCGTTACAACTTTGTACCCTTAAACGCTCATTCTTATCAGCACCCCCTATCTTCTGGTAATCACCATTTTACACTCTTCTTTTTTTAACAGATTGGACTTTTTTAGATTCCATATGTAAGTGATACCATTTAGTACTTGTTTTTCTCTGACTTATCTCACTTAGCATCATGTAGTCAAGGTCTGTCCATGTTGTTGCAAATGGCAGGATAGCTTCCTTTCTCATACATGAATAATATTCTATTGTGTATGTATATTACTACATTGTTTTCATCCATGTATCTATTAGTGGTCATTTGGGTCATTTCCATAATCTTTGCTATTATCATAAACATCAATTCAGTTCAGTCGCTTGGTTGTGTCTGATTCTTTGCGGCCCCGTGGACTGCAGCACGCCAGGCTTCCCTGCCTATCACCATCTCCCAGAGCTTGCTCAAACTCATATCCATTGAGTCTGTGATGCCATCCAACCATCTCTTCCTCTGTCATCCCCTTCTCCTCCCGCCTTCAATCTTCGCAGCATCAGGGTCTTTTCAAATGAGTCAGTTCTTCACATCAGGTGGCCAAAGTGATAAACAAAGTGATAAACATAGATATGCATATACCTCGTCAAAATATTTTCACTTCCTTTGGGTGTATACCCAGAAGTAGAATTGATTGATCATATGTTAGATCTATTTTAATTTTTTGAGGAACCTCCATATTGTTTTCCATAGTGGTTGGACTAATTTATATTTCCACCAACAGTGCATTAGGGTTCCTTTTTCACCACATTCTTGCCAACACATGTGTTGTCTCTTCTTTCTTTCTTTTTTTTAAATTTATTTGGCTGTGCTAGTTCTTACTTGAGGCATGCAGGATCTTAGTTTCTGCTTGCGGGATCTAGTTCCCTGATCAGGCATCAAACCCAGAACCCCTGCACTGGGAGCACCAGGGAAATCCCTCTTCTCTGCTTGATGATAGCCATTCTAACAGGTGTGAGGTGTTATCTCACTGTGGTTTTGATTGGCATGTCCCTGATGATTAGTAATGTTGAACATTTTCTCATTGGCCTTTTGGCCATTTTGATATCTTCTTTGGAACTAGTACTTCTGCTCATTTTTTAATCAGATTGTTGGGGAAAGGGTTGTTTGTTATTAAGTTTTGTTAGTTGTTTGTATATTTTGGATATTAACCCCTTATCCAGTACATGGTTTGCAGAAATTTTCTCACACTCTGTAGGCTGCCATTGATTGTTTCTTTTACTGTGCAGGAGCTTTTGAGTTTAACATAATCTCGTTTGTTGATTTATACTTTTATTGTTTGTGCTTTTGCTGTCATGTCCAAAAAAGTCATTGCCTGAATGGCAAATTGTTATTTAGAGAAGAAATTATTTCTTTTGTTTTCTTTTCCACTTATTCATAGAGCTCACAAAATATTGACTCTGTTAGAACCATGCTTTGGAGCCATTAAGAAGTCCACTGCCCTCTGTGTATCTATGTGGCATGTTTTTGTTTAGGTTTGTTATATCTCCTGACTTTGATATGAGTGCTTGTAGCTTAAAAGACTAACTTTCTGTTTATTCTGTAATTATCTATGGCCTCATTCAGTATTAATTCCCCAAAACCTGGCACTCTGTGTTATTGGGAGATCAGTATTCTGGTACATCTGATGCCCTGTGTGATCATGGCTGAGACAGATGAGCAGTCAAGTACCATTGCCAGTAAATAAAACCTACCATCTGTTGATACAGTCACATACTCAAATCCTTACCTTATTTCATTATTAAATCCATTAACATAAAAGGAAAAGGAATCAATATCCTATTGGATCAAGCCTACTGATTTATTTGAAATAAAGGTAAGATAAGCTGAATAATTTATGATATAGAGGAAATGTATGAGAATCTTAAGTACATCAATTTAAAGAGGTATCAGAGATAAGGAAACTATAAGTCTGAATAGACAGATACCTGGCAACAGGGGAAAGGAGCAGATATGTAGAAAAAGGTACACTGATGTTGGCCTTGGAGTACAGAATGAAGCAGGGCAAAGGCTAATAGAGTTTTGCCAAGAGAACGCACTGGTCATAGCAAACACTCTCTTCCAACAACACAAGAGAAGACTCTACACATGGATATCACCAGATGGTCAATACCAAAATCAGACTGATTATATTCTTTGCATCCAAAGATGGAGAAGCTCTATACAGTCAGCCAAAAAAGACCGGGAGTTGACTGTGCCTCAGATCATGAACTCCTTATTGCCAAATTCAGACTTAAATTGAAGAAAGTAGAGAAAACCACTAGAGCATTCGGGTATGACATAAACCACATCCCTTATAGTGGAAGTGACAAATATAGATTCAAGGGATTAGATCTAATAGACAGAGTGCCTGAAGGACACAGGTTTGTGACATTGTACAGGAGGCAGTGATCAAAACCATCCCCAAGAAAAAGAAATGCAAATAGGCAAAATGGTTGTCTGAGGAGGCCTTACAAATAGTTGAGAAAAGAAGAGAAACTAAAGGCAAAGGAGAAAAGGAAAGATATATCCATCTGAATGCAGAGTTCCAAAGAATAGCAATGAGAAATAAGAAAGCCTTCCTAGGTGATCAATGCAAAGAAACAGGAAAAGAATAAAATAGGAAAGACTAGAGATCTCTTCAAGAAAATTAGAGATATTAAGGCAACATTTCATGCAAAAATGGGCACAATAAGGGACAGAAACTGTATGGACCTAACAGAAGCAGAAGATATTAAGAAGAGGTGGCAAGAATACACAGAACTGTACATAAAAATCTTCATGACCCAGATAACCATGATGGTGTGATCACTCACCTAAAGCCAGACATCCTGAAATGCGAAGTCAAGTGGGTCTTAGGAAGCATTACTACAAACAAAGCTAGTGGAGGTGATGGAATTCCAGTTGAGCTCTTTCAAACCCTAAAAGATGATGCTGTGAAAGTGCTGAACTCAATATGCCAGCAAATTTGGAAAACTCAGCAGTGGCCACAGGACTGGACAAGGTCAGTTTTGATTCCAATCCCAAAGAACTAAAAAGCATCTTGATGAAAGTGAAAGAGGAGAGTGAAAAAGTTGGCTTAAAGCTCAACATTCAGAAAACTAAGATCATGGCATCTGGTCCCATCACTTCATGGGAAATAGATGGGGAAACAGTGGAAACAGTGTCAGACTTTATTTTTTGGGGCTCCAAAATCACTGCAGATGGTGACTGCAGCCATGAAATTAAAAGACGCTTACTCCTTGGAAGGAAAGTTATGACCAACCTAGATAGCATATTAAAAAGCAGAGACATTACTTTGCCAACAAAGGTCCGTCTAGTCAAGGCTATGGTTTTTCCAGTGGTCATGTATGGATGTGAGAGTTGGACTGTGAAGAAAGCTGAGCGCCGAAAAATTGATGCTTTTGAACTGTGGTGTTGGAGAAGACTCTTGAGAGTCCCTTGGACTGCAAGGAGATCCAACCAGTCCATCCTAAAGGAGATCAGTCCTGGGTGTTCATTGGAAGGACTGATGCTGAAGCTGAAACTCCAATACTTTGGCCACCTGATGTGAAGAGCTGACTCATTTGAAAAAGACCCTGATGCTTGGAAAGATTGAAGGTGGGAGAAGAAGGGGACAACAGAGGATGAGATGGTTGGATGGCATCACCGACTCAATGGACATGAGTTTGGGTAAACTCTGGGAGTTGATGACGGACAGGGAAGCCTGGCGTGCCACATTCCATGGGGTCGCAAAGACTCAGACACGACTGAGCGACTGAACTGAACTGACTGATGTTCCAAATGCCTTTCTTTTTTGCATTAAACCTCAATTTTAATATATTTATGTGTCATTTTGATAGTGCTTTTCTCACCAATGTACTAGACAAACTGATGAAATAGAAAAAATGAAGGGCATGGTGCTCCCACACCAATAAGGCACTTTTATTATCCTGCCTTTAATGATCAACTCTTGTATAATTTGATAGTAGTAAAATGAAACTGACTTAAGAGTGGGTGGGGACTTCCTGTATCACTCACATAAGTACTTGAAACCTTGCAATAACACTTTGGCGGAAGGACTGGGAATTGTAACAAGAATTCCCACATTGGGCTTCCAGCCCTTAAGGATGAATCAGCTGCTGACTCCTTCACTGTCCTTCTGACTTTCCTGGCACTTTGCCAGGTTCCCTAATTCTTTCCCATGGTAAAGAGTTTGAGAAGATAATGTTTCAATTTTTTAATCTGGTGTTTCCTATTCTCTTTAGATTGATGTGCTTAGTTAAAAAAAAAAAGCTGGTGTTTTTATTTTTATTGTGATGGAAATGGAGAAGTGAACCATCAGTGTTTATATTACTTTTAGCTTACAGAACATTGGATTTGAAAGTTTAGATTTTAGTACAGAGTGAACATCCAGGTCTCTTGGTGCCCAAGTGTGTATTTGTCATTGTTTCTATGAACAGGTTCCTGGCATTAATTTACCTGTCAACCAACTGACCTATTTCTTCGCTGCAGTCCTCATTAGCGGTGTTGTACATGAAATTGGACATGGAATAGCAGCTATTAGGTAATGATATTTCCCTCTTTCTCCATATATATACGGGATGCAAAAAAAGCATTTCATTTAGAAGGAGTTATTACTAAAATCTGGGACTTCCCAGGTGGTGCTAATGGTAAAGAACCCACCTGCCAATGCAGGAGAAATAATAGATGCAGGTTTGATCCCTGGGTTGGGAAGATCCTCTGGAGTAGGAAAAGGCAACGCACTCCAGTATTCTTGCCTGGAGAATTCCATGGACAGAGGAGCCTGATGTGCTACAGTCCATGGGGTCACAAAGAGTCAGGCATGACTGAAGCAACTTATCACACACACATTACTAAAATCTGCTACATTTGATACTTTTTCTTTCTGTGACTACTGCCCAGTGCATATCCACCATTATTACTTTAAGCTACCTTCTCTTTTGTAGACATTAATATATTGATGAGTATGCTTAGTTAATTGTGCACATCTATAATCTGGGTCTTTCTATCCTTTGTCCTTTGCCAGCATGGTTATATCCTCATGGCGCATCACTATTTTCATCCAATCCCGAAACCTAATCTTTATATTCATCATTGGATCGGAATGATAACCACTGCAGTCAAATCCCATCCACCTGCCTTCTTAGTATTTACTTTGGCTCATCATCTGAAATACTTCCCTTCTTCTACCCATGGTCTCTGCTGCCAACAGCAAGAACACTGAAAGCTCTGGGTTTGTTGACAAATATCATAGCATGTCTAGAAAACCGAGTGGGAAAAGATAAGGGAGGATGAGGCCGGGAACTTGCTTCAAGTATCATGCCCTGTTTCTGTCTTGACTCTCCAAGTGTATCACTGTAATTATACCTGAGCATTTTAAAGTCTCCTTAATGTGTGAAATCATGATAGGGGAGAGAGTGAGTCACAACTCCCCTTTATTCCCAATAATGAACACACATACTGATGGGAATGTGTTTCATCCTTTGGGTGTGTGGACCACATAAAAAGTTTTAAAGGAGAAGATTTAATCATTTCTTATTACTTTCCAGTTGCTTATGAAAAGAGTCTGTTGACTCTCATCTTGACAGAGAGTCTTGACCCTCATCTTGACAGAGCATATACTGTTACACAGGTGTGCCATGTAGTGGTTTAAATGGGTGGCTAGTTTTTTTTCTCTCTTTCATCTTTGCTTCCTCTTCTTTAGCTCTGTAGATTTTAGGGTTTTACATAGAAAAGCATTGTTATTAACAGTTTAATAATTCATAATATGTTTGTGAAATAGTATGGGTAATTTTTTATAAAATCCCAGTTGCTGAGAAAAAGTGAATTTTACAGTCATCTTAAGATATTTAATGCTAGGTGACAGCACAAAATATTTAGATGATGCTTTTTTCAGAGTAGCTGTGTGGCCTTATGAGGCTTTTAAATGTAATTCCATTTTTAGAGAATGACTTGATAAAAAATAGTTCTCTTGAGGACAATCTGAGCATTATGTATTTTAAAATGTACTTAACATTAATTCAGCAAGAATACATTTAGATAAAATGCCATCTTTATAATAGCTAAGACAAATATAAATATTTATTTATTAATACTTGACTTCTATTTTCTACCATCTCCTTCCCTGAAAATAATTCAGACTAAACCATAAAAATGTTTTTTTTTCAGTTTCTCATAGAAATACTATTGCTTTGTATTTGTGACTAATTTTAAGTTATTTGCTCAGCGTATTGGTTTCTAAAAATTTTGAAGTTATAAGTCTATTTCAGAATGCCCTGTTTTACAAAACATAATTTCACTGATAACTAAATCTGTATGCTATTATAAAATTATGATATACATGTATATCATATATAATTCTTTGACTGCCCAGAGAGACTTGTATTTTAAACAAGAATTTGAATTACATTGGGGAGTTTTATGATAACATGCATTATTAATTTGAAAAATGTGATACTAGTAGTAAATTCCTTTTTCTTATGTGATTTCTTAGGGAACAAGTTCGATTTAATGGCTTTGGGATTTTTCTCTTCATTATTTATCCTGGAGCATTTGTTGATCTGTTCACCACTCATTTGCAACTTATATCACCAGTCCAGCAGCTAAGGATATTTTGTGCAGGTAAAAGATTTAAATTTCTTTATATATCTGTGTGTTATTAGTGGTTTTATGGAAAGTACTCACATCACAAATGAAAACATCTCACTTTATGGTTGATAAACTCAGATTATAAGACTTTTAGTTAGAAGTAGTAGAACAAAATAGTTTACATTCCAGTTTTTTTCCCCCATTTTTTAACATGAATTATTTTTAAAAGATTGAAAGTAAATAAGCAGAACATACCATGAAAATAAGGCTAAAGCATTGAATCAGACATGTTCAGTTCAGTTCAGTCGCTCAGTCGTGCCTGACTCTTTGTGACCCCATGAACCGCAGCACGCTAGGCCTCCCTGTCCGTCACCAACTCCCGGAGTCCACCCAAACCCATGTCCATTGAGTCTGTGATGCCATCCAACCATCTCATCCGAAGTAGACATGGGAAGTCACTAAATAATCATAAGGAGCATAATCCATGATGAAAATGTAATCATGAGTCTTACTGAATAAAGTAACAAATCAGCAAAACAAAAATAGAAAAAAGTACCAGGAAAACACAAATGTAATAAAGGAGGTTTGTCTATCAACAAATGGCAGTTATGTATGAAAAAGTCTTATTGTTGAAGCTCTGATTACTAAGATAAAAGTCAATAGTTATGTCAGTTTATTTTCAAGTGCCCAGGAAACTAATAAAAGTTGGCCAGTTAAATTCAAAATCATAATTGCAGTATTTTTTAAAATGCTAATGAAGTAATGTGTAAAGTTTTGCTAAAATGAAAAGTCACTACCTTAGGCAATTATGAAATAAGAAATGAAAGTAAATCAGTTAAGCAGTCAACTAAAGAAATGAGAAAAGAACTATGAAATAGTTAAGAATTGATGTTGTTAGTATAAATAGATATGGTCGGTCAGTCGTGTCCAACTCTTTGCGACCCCATGGACTGTAGCCTGCTGGGCTCCTCTGCCATGGAATTCTCCAGTTAAGAATACTGCATCAGTTCAGTTCAGTCGCTCAGTTGTGTCCAATTCTTTGTGACCCCAAGGACTGCAGCACGCCAGGCTTTCCTGCCCATCACCAACTCCTGGAGCCTGCTTAAACTCATGTCCATCAAAGTCAGTGATGCCATCCAACCATCTCATCCTCTGTCGTCCCCTTCTCCTCCTGCCTTCAATCTTTCCCAGNCTCTCAAGAGTCTTCTCCAACACCACAGTTCAAAAGCATCAATTCTTCAGCGCTCAGCTTTCTTTATAGTCCAACTCTCACATCCATACATGACTACTGGAAAAACCATAGCTTTGACCAGACGGACCTTTGTCGGCAAACTTATGTCTCTGTTTTTTAATATGCTGTCTAAGTTGGTCATAGCTTTTCTTTTCCAGTGAGTCAGTTCTTCGCTTCAGGTGGCCAAAGTATTGGAGCTTCAGCATCAGTCCTTCCAATGAATATTCAGGACTGGTTTTCTTAAGAATTGAATGGTTGGATCTCTGTACAGTTCAAGGGACTCTCAAGAGTCTTCTCCCACACAACAGTTCAAAAGCATCAATTCTTCGGCGCTCAGCTTTCTTTACGGTACAACTCTCACATCCATACATGACTACTGGAAAAACCATAGCTTTGACCAGATGGACCTTTGTCTGCTAAGAATACTGCCATGGGTAGCCATTCCCTTCTCCTGGGGATCTTCCCAACCCAGGGATCAAACCCAGGTCTCCTACATTGCAGGCAGATTCTTTACCATCTAAGCCACTAGGGAAGCCCCATAATCAGTATGAAAATACACAAAAAGTGTAATAAATTAGAAAGAAAAACTTTTAAATTCAAGATTTCTTGGAAGAACAAAAAAAGATTAAGCAGTGGAGAAAACATTTATAGACAGAATTAGCAGTCAGATTGGGGAATGACAACTGATACAGAGAAATTTTAAACAATTATAGAAGTGTTCTTTGTTCATCTCTGCAAAAATTTTTCACAAACCTGGATAATTATTTTTTAAATAGCCTAAATTAACCCCAGCAGAGATAGAAAAAAAATTATAAATAGGATATTTACCACAGAAGAAATTAAGGAAGTTGAAGAATGGTCCTGAGAGTTCAATATGTAGAATTATTTCAAATCTTGAAGAGAAGATTTTTCTTTTTAATTCCAATTTAGCATAAACTTTCCAGATTACCTATAGAAGAAAACCAAGAATTTTTTTAAAGTCAGTGTACTAACACTGCTGTATCCTGTAAAGCACACAGAAAAATTCTATAGACAATTGGTGTATCTAAACAACACAAAGATGGCTTAACATTAGGAAATGTTATATGTGAACGTGGTAAACACTGATTACCCTTAAGGGAAAAATATCACCTTAGCAGATATTGAAATGGGTATTTAATAAAATTCTATATACATTAATGCTTAAAAAACAAAAATGTTTAGTAACAGTGGAAATAGTTGGATATTTACTAATGGTATAAAACTTAGAAGCATTTCTGTTAAAGCACTGGTCCCTAACCTTTTGGAAACCAGGGACCAGTTTTGTGGAAGACAAAAACCAGGGGTTGAGCAGTGGATATGGTTCAAATGGTAATGCAAGTGATGAACCAGTGCTAGTCTATGGCCCAGCACCTTGTATTAAAGGAAAAGACAGGCATTCCCACTATCACTGATACTGTTAAATGGCCTATAAATGTAGGTCAGTGCAATTAAATAAAAAAAGCATAAATATTAGAAAAGGATAGGTCTTGTCCTCCCCCCCCCCACCCCCGCCATGCCATACTCATACAGTTGGTGGTGGGGTAGAAGGGGAGTGACAATTAAAATCAGTGAAAATTAAACAGAAAAAATTATGCAGAGCCTGGTTGTTATATTCAAAAGAAACACTAGCTTAGCACGCTAAGCAGCGCGTGTGTCGGGGCGGGAGGGACGGCGCATGTGCGAGCGTACAACTCTGGGCACGTACTAGACTGTGGGCACGTAAGACTGTGGGGGCGCCTCAGCTTAGAAGCGCATGTGCGAGGTGCATAAAAGCGCATGCGTGCTGCCCACCTAGGAGCATTTGCGCCTCTTCCGCGTCGTGCTCCACAACGGCGAACACCTTCGTGTGAAGCTCGCGGTTTTCTCCTTTCGGCTTTTTTTTTCCGCGGCCTTTTGGTCACCTATCCGCTGATTAGTAGCCTCTGAAGAGCCCTCAGCCATGGACTGCCACGAGTCATTCTACACCATAGACGACCTGGAGTTGTATCCAGAGATTGTGGGGCTCCAGCAAGTGCAGGTGGAGCCCGCCACTGAGGGGATCCCTCATGAGGAGACCGCCACTGAGGAGACAGTCTCTGTGGAGACCATGGGGATGGAGGCGACCAAGGAATACGAGGATGTCACCGGCAATTGGTTCCACGGTGGCCACCACTATCCACCTCTGATTGCGCTGCAGCCTCTTTTTATAAGCAGCCCAACCCAAGGGAACCACGACCAAGGAATGATAATGGTGCAGACACAGGAGGAGGTGGTGACCAGCTCCGAGCCCGAAAGCCTTCAGGCCAGCGACCAGATTGTCATCCCAGGCCTCGACGTCGACTACTTCCAGGAGACCTTGGCTTCTCTGTCAGGCTCCACATCTTCCTCAGCCTACAACCACACCCGGCCACCCAGCGGCCATGGCAAGAAACCCGACGGTAAGAGCGGTTACCCGGGCGGTGAGGCGATGGCGGGAAGCAGCTCTGAGGCAGGCCAAAAGAAGCGGGGGCAGAAGCAGATGCAGGTCCAAACCCTAGAGGGTCAGTTTTCTGTCACTATGTGGTCCGCAACCAATAAGAAGGACCCTGAGACTGGACAGACTGAGAACTCAGTTCCTGATTATTCAGAGTACTTGATGGGTAAGAAGCTGCCCCCTGGAGGAATTCCTGGCATTGATCTCTCAGACCCCAAACAACTGGCCGAATTTACTAAAATGAGACCTAAAAAACCCAAAGATGATGTGCCGAGAACAGTAGCTTGCCCTAACGCAGGCTGCTTTAAGATGTTCAGAGATAACGCCGCTTTGAGAAAACATATGCACACCCATGGTCCCAGAGTTCACGTCTGTGCGGAATGTGGCAAAGCTTTTGTTGAGGGCTCCAAATTGAAGCGCCATCAACTGGTGCATACCGGAGAGAAGCCGTTTCAGTGCACCTTTGAAGGCTGCGGAAAACGCTTTTCCCTGGATTTCAACCTGCGCACACACCTGCGAATCCATACCGGAGATAAGCCCTACGTGTGCCCTTTCGATTGTTGTAATAAAAGGTTTTCTCAGTCAACTAACCTGAAATCTCATATCTTAACACATGTTAAGAATAAGAATAACCAGTAAAAAAAAAGGGAAGACTCTTCTCAGGCTCAGAAAGCATCTTCCAGTTGTGTAATTGAAAATGAATGTGCCTCTCTTTCGTATAAGAAACTTTCTAGAAAATAATTTTGTAACTGACTCCAGTATATCTTAAGGGTTAAGTTTTGTTAGATTTAGTAAAAAGAAAATTAAAAGATTTAAAAAAAAAGACCAAAAAAAAAGACAAAAGCAAAAAAAGACCAAAAAAAGTAGTTTTTCATAGAACACTGTTAATAAGTTTTGTCTTGTTCTGTAGTTTCGTCTTGTTCTGGAATACCATTTGAAAAATACGATTTTGTAATGCTTGCTCATGAATCTCACATCAAAAGACTGATCTTTAAAAAAAAAAAAGACTGTTCTTTATCCAACTATGATAAAAATGGGACTTTTCACATTCCTTTAAAAGTGAAGTTTTGCCTATTGTTTCAATTTTTGAAGTTCTGTATTTTCTAAATGTTCATGTTTATACTTTGAAGACTATGTTTAGTAGTTCTAAAAAAAAAATATGCTTAGTAGTTCTGTGTATGGTTTTTCTGAAAGTAGATAACTTTGCTTGCAGGTTTTCTTTAAAAGAGTGAACATGTATATATAACGTTTTACTGTTTAAAAAACTTATATAGGTTTTGTTTGCTATCTTAATTTTGTTTGTATTCTTTGACATTAGTACATTTTACATAACAGTGTTTTAACTGCGTTGAATTAGTAGTTTTGAATAGTAGATAAGTTGTAGTAGTTGATTTAAACCTGTTTAGTCTTTTTGCTTCTCCCCCATCCCCAAATACTGCAAGGTGCTGTTGTTTAGTCCTTTCTTTGCCTGTTCAGTTAGGGAGTGGTGCTCAGCTGTGGAATATATTGTGTGTGTATTGCCTTTTAACATTTGGTACGTAAATCCTTTATAATAGACAAATCAAAAAATAAAACACCTGTTCTAAAGAAAAAAACTTGTCTTTATAAATATTGTAGCTAGAAAATAGAGAAAATGGGGAAGGTGCTAGTGGCATCTGGTGGGTGGGTAGAGGCCAGGGTTGCTGCTAAACATTTTACAATGCACAGGTCATTCCCCCACAACAGAGAATTATCTGGCCCAAAGTGCCAGTAGTGCCACTGTTGAGAAACCTTGCTCCAGAGAAAGTAGAAACGGTGACAAAAATTCATTTGGTGCACTGAAAAGCAAATCATTAATGAACAAGAGGTTGTTTAAATAAAGGAAATAAAGGTACCCACATTGCAACTTAGCCATCACTGGCCAGTCTGAAATCTAGCAGGGTGGTCTGGTACCAGCTGCATCCCTGATAAGAGATAGGAGGCTCCCCAGAAGGTCAAAGAATCAGTGCTGCTGTGTGCCCATCTGAGTGTTGCTTGGATGAGAAGAGCCAGGGTTGTATGGTGGGGTCATCCTGATAAATAAGAGGTAGGGTACAACATTTAGGCAGTTCTGTTGAACTGTAACATTGTGAGGAGAAAGCTGAATATAGCACATGGTAGTGGTGGCCAATCTAATCAGTGGGGATGGATTTTGTGAAATTGTTGTGGGACTAGCAACAGGGTGTGGGGTGGTGGGAGGGGTGGAATAGCTGTTATTCCTAAATTAGTTTCACTAGAGTAAATTCCAGTGGGTCGAAGAATCAGAGGGGTTTTTTTTTTTTTTTTTTGGTCTTAATTTTGTTTTTTAAATGATGTTATGAAAGCAGTACAAGAGATCACAGATATTCTACAATCTTGAACTGGGAAAAACTTAATACAAAGGAGCCATTTGACCACACCAAAATTTAAAATATATGCATAAGCAAAACTATATAGCTAAACAAACTGGAGGAAATGATCAAAATACCTCATATAGAAGACCAAAATTCCTCAATGTATGTATTACAAATAATAATACATATAAATTAGTTTTTAAAAAATTCAAAAAATGCAAACTGACAATGGATAAAAATAAGCAATTCTCAGACAAAAATATAACCATTTAATAACCATGAGAAATGTACAAACTCATTCATATTTAAAGAAATAGAAATCAAGACAAAGATTTTACTTTTCACCTGGCAGATGGCAGTCTAAAATTACGATAGCACCCAGGCTGGCGGCAGGCGGAGGAGTGAGAACGCCGGCGGGCTGTCGGCTTGTGGAGCCATGAACCCAGCAGGGTTCGGCGCTCGCCGGCGGGCGCGAGTGTCCCGCCTCCTCTTCTTCGGCGCGACCCACCGCCTCCGCATCTAATCTCTTAGTAATGAAGAAAACTTGAAATTATTTGGGAAGTGCAATAACCCAAATGGCCATGGGCACAATTATAAAGTTGTGGTGACAGTACATGGAGAGATTGATCCTGTTACAGAAATGGTTATGAATTTGACTGACCTCAAGGAGTATATGGAGGAGGCGATTATGAAGCCCCTTGATCATAAGAATCTGGATCTAGATGTGCCGTATTTTGCAGACATTGTAAGCACAGAAGAAAATGTAGCCGTATATATCTGGGAAAACCTCCAGAAATTTCTTCCTGTGGGAGTTCTTTATAAAGTAAAAGTATATGAAACCAACAATAATATTGTAGTCTATAAAAGAGAATAACTCTTAGAGATTAATTTCCATCCATATTTGAAGATCATTATCCCCTTGAACAATTAAGAAATGATCACCTAACTGTTGTACTTCCACATTGTATTCTGGAATCATTGTGAGTGAGTCTTGTTCTAGACTCAAATCTAATTTAAAACCAAGTTTGTAATGTATTCTGAGTATCATTTAAAGAGTCATTCATCCCCTGTGCAAGGATGATATGCAAATTCGTGAAGCATTCCATATTTTAAAAAAATAAAGAGTCGTTCATCTATAGATTAAAATCACTTCAGCAAAAAATAAAATAAAATAAAATTATGATAGCATCCAGTGTTGTTTAGAGGGTGGGGAAACATGACAATTATAAGCATATAATGCAGACTTGGAGGTTAACTTTAATGCATATATTTTTGACCCAACAATTCCATTTTTGTATAATTGTCCATACCCTCAGAGATGTGATCTTAATCAGATGCATAACATCGTGAGCAAAGCTGTTGCAACACTATGAAAAAGTTAAAACAGCCTAAGTGATCATTAGTAGGGAACCTTATTAATAAGTCAATATGTTTTTTAAAAAATAGATTACACTGTAGTGGATACAAGGAATAGGTTAGATATGAATGTGGAGATAAGGGATAAGTCAAAAGTATATAAATGAAAATGCAAAATACAGTTTCAGATAAATAGCTTGATACCGTTGGTGTTTTTAAAAGATCTTTCTGTGTATAAAACAGGATTGTTTACCCAATTATGTCTTGGACTAGAGGAACTTCTTGCAATGTCATGGTACATGAAATATACGTTATTAGCTAGAAATCTGGCCGCTGTAATACCTAAAAATAACAGTGACTTAAGCACTCATAAAACATTTAGAAATGTAAGTAGTTCAGTGCTGATAATGGTAATTCTATGATCTGGAGGACTGAAGTGCTTTCTGTCTTAGCTTTACGATTTCCAGCGTGCAGCTTCTGTCATAGACTCAAGTTTAGCTCCATTATAGCTACATTCCAGCCAGTAAGACAGTCCCCGTCACCTCTGCTCACATCCTTTTGCTGAAGTACAGTCATATGGCCACAGTCTGCCCTTAGATCTGGGCGATGTCTTTAGTCTTTAAGTTACATTTTTATCATTACAGGACACTGGTGCTGTCAACCTCCTAGGGATGTTTGGAATGTGTGGGGTGGGGGACATTGGTTGGTTGTCTCAATGACATATATATGATATATATCCTGTGTTGTAAGGGGCAAGACCTGCACACCTAAGAAACACACTGCCCAGAGAGCTGGTATTTCCTCCACCCTGCCCCATAAGAAAAACTGTACTAGAGAGGAAGGATTTGTATGGGAGGGGCTATTATCTGGTGGTATGCTAGTGAAAGTTTAGCATATAACCCTGGAGGAAAGGGTGGAGAGCTCTGATAAACTAGCATTTGCTCGTGTCTGTGGTATAAATACTCCCACCATGGCCAATTTGAAGGCACCATCTTGAGGTCCCTGGCGTAGGAATTGGTTAAAGAGGCCCAGTCAGCTGTGGCAAGCTGGTAGGAGCAGGCTCCAGCACAACACTCAATTCACCTAACTCTCTCTATAGAGATGGAGGAGATAGTTTATAGTCTTGATGTAAGATACATACCCCAGTTCAGCAAGAATCATAACTTTTATTTGATAGCTCTGAAGTTCCTTTCAAAGATCACAAGTATGTTTAAATGAATACATAACATTTTCTGAAAAATAAAGCTATGGTAAGTAGAAGATACTCTATTTGCTATATACACATACACACCCCTTTATGTATATAATAAATGTATATATATTGAGAGAGAATGTAGACTCTAATAGTGTTAAATCATATTAGCATGTGGTCTTCCTAGTGTTGTATTAACATAGTCATTTTAGATTTCATTATTTGAAATGAAAGAAGCCTATAACTTAACATGTCTTCTGTACTAATAAATTGACCTATCTGCCTCACAGCTTCTTCTGGTGACTTTCCTAATATATCAGAATGCCTAGGTGTGATGAAATGCAACTACCCTGCCCCTGGTTGAACTTACTCTTTTTGTTCCCTCTTTTCAGGTATCTGGCATAATTTCATCCTTGCACTCCTGGGTATTTTAGCTCTTATTCTCCTTCCTGTAATTCTCTTGCCATTTTACTACACTGGAGTTGGGGTGCTTATCACTGAAGTTGCTGAGGTAAATGATAAGATTGTCTAGGGTATTCCACCAGATTTTGTGAAGTAGCATTTTATGTCAGGAGCTTTTATTCAAATTCCTCTCATGTACAGAATATTTAGTTTTTCCTAAAGAAATTACTGTAATCCTTTCAAATGGAAGAAATAGTTTTGTGAAACACACTGGCTGTCTTAAAATACTGAAAATTGTTTCTGTTCTGAGTTACAAGAATGATATCAAGATTTTCTACCTGTAATTTGTTGATAAAATGCATCATTTACCTTTACTGTTTGTTTTATAATTGTGCTTTTGAGTCAAGTGTCTTTACTCCCAAGAAGTAAGAAAGATGAAACCTAAGCTAGCCAGCCAGAACATTTCATGGGAGTTTTAAGTTATTAATGTCTTCAACTCTGTCTTTCACTCCCTTAGACTACTGTGATGGTATCAAGTCTTCTCTTCATATTTTGGGAAGAGAAAAATTACCTTTGTGAGCAACTGACTCACATCCTGATATACTCACTGTGCTGACAATATTGTCTGCATATTTGGGACTGTGTTTAGATAAGGACTTGTTTTGTCATTTTCTCCCTTGGTGATATAGGAAAATGAAGGCATTCTGGTAACCACTTTCACAAAAAATTTTAATTAGCAGCTTGGGAAAAACTGTCATTTTAATCTTAACTGTTGGTGAGTGAGGTTTGTTTGTTTTTTCAGTTGCAAAAAATTAAAAATCTTAGTGAAATATGAAAAGTATAATTGTTGGGTTTTATTTTGTTATTTTTCTAGGACTATATACATCATGAATTCAAAGCTGGATTATTTTTGCATTATTCGAAACTTTCTACTTAATTCAGTGTCTTTATTATTTGCTCAGATTAATCATAGCTTGTCTTCACACATTTTCTGATTTGGTTCTGCCCTCTTACCAAGGACTCACCTGCAATTGGACCCAGAGGCCTTTTTGTGGGAGACCTTGTCACCCATCTACAGGATTGTCCTGTTACCAATGTACAAGACTGGAATGAATGTCTGGATACCATCACCTATGAGCCCCAAATTGGTTACTGTATAAGTGCATCAACTTTGCAGCAGTTAAGCTTCCCAGTTAGAGGTATGTATATTTTCTCAGTATGATATAATTTAGGACTATAAGCAGCAGTCCTTGCCATTCGTTAATTCTTATATCATGTATATAGATTTATTTTGTTCTAACTTCCTTAAATCAGTAAAGTAGTAGGCTTAAATGAGTAAACATCCTTCTTGGTAATTTAGATAATAATATGTATGTTTTGTCTATTATATTTTGTTGTGGAACTTCTAACGAATTTCATCTTTGGTTTTCAGGACTCTAGGATCTAATTCTTCCAGCATTTAGGTAACACTTGTGTTTAGTCAGCATTCAAGCTCAAACATAACCAATTAACTGAATTCCAGTAATTAAATACCCTTATGCTATGTGGATGGTGGCATGTCCAAAGCTATTTGGGATAGGGTTTTTTCGTGTGGCAGGTGTTCAGAGAAAATCATCTTGATGTCCAAAAATACTTCCTGAAGTCAGATCTGTTGTTCTGTGTAGTAGGCAACAGGGTGAAGCAAGTTTACTTTCAGAAGCTGCCAACTGTATTTTTAGCTCTTCCATCTCTGGAAAATCAGTCTCCCAACTCTTAATACAAAACCCTGGGGATTCAAATTATTGAAAGTTTTGGGAAGTGCAAATTATACTCACAGACTACATTTTTAAATCAAGAAATGCCTGGGTAGTTTTACACATCTACTGGGGTTAAGAAATATGATTAATTATTAAAAATAATTTTATTAAAGTACCATGTGCAAAGTGGCAAAGTAGTAAGAACTGGTTTCAATTTTTTTTATATGTAATCTTCCAAGTATAACCTATTATTTAAGATTAGTTTTTATTTGTTTGGCGCACTGGGTCTTAGTTGTGGCACACAGTATCTTTAGTTGCTTCATGCAAACTCAGTTGCAGCATGTGGGGTCTAGTTTCCCCACCAGAGATTGAACTTGGGACCCCTTCATTGGGAGCTTGGAGTCTTAGCCACTGAAACACCAAAGAAGTCCCTCTAACTCATTTTTAAGAGCTTTTTTTTAATTGCAAAAACTTTTCACACGTAAATAAATGTCAAGAAAGTAGTATAGGGAATTCCCTGGAGGTCCAGTGGTTAGGGCCCCATGCTTTCACTGCCAAGGATATGGATTCAATCCCTGTTGGGGAAACTAAGATCCTGCGTGTCATGCAGTGCGGCCAAAAAGAAAGACGCAGAGTAATATAAATGAAACTTCATGCATCCTTCTCCCAGCTTCAGCAATTATCAACACTTTGCCAATTTTTTCATCCACCCTGTCCACCTTTAAAGGAAATATTTGAAAGCACATTCCAGGTATCCTGTGATTTCATTCATAAATCTCGGCATATCTTTAATAGATAATGACCTTTTAGACATGACCACAGTACTATTATCACACCTAACAAAATTAACAGTAATTCCTAATATCTAATTGGTATTCACTCTTCCCTGTTTTTTTTTTTCTTTTTCACAGTTGGTTTCAGTTGGATGGTATGTCTTTTAAGTTGTAACAGTTCCCTCTTACACTTTTTTTTAAAATATCATTTGTTAAAGAAACTGAGTCATTTGTTTTGTCAGATTTATCATTAACATGTTCAAGTATCCCCCACATTTCCTATAGGTGGTAGTTAGGTCTAGAGACTTGATTAGATTCAGCATCCATTTTTGACAAGGGCAAAAATACCTAGATAGCACTCAGTACTTCAAATTGCATCTCATGTTTTTCCATGTATTGCATCTTTTCAAATGGGTATGTAATCCACAGTATCTTCTGTAAGAGAAGAATCCATTATTTCATACTTAAGTCCTTTATCGTTTTCCTCAAGTTTGTCTAAATTTGGTATAACTAGTATTGAATTACCAGAGCCAAAATGACATTGTTATCAAATAAAATTTCTTTCCAATAGAATCGTTTTATTTAGGATATCTGTGTTTCAATGTTTATAGTTAGTCTTTTTCCTGGCAGACAGTTGGAAGTGAAATTTTTCTTGAAATACTCCAGAATTCTTTCCCTATTAACTTTTTGAGTATTTCACTATTATGGATCCTATGCTACATTTTGGAGGTATTTACTTGAAAACCCAAAGCGGGTATTACTCTTACCACACTCCCACACTAATAAAAAAAAATCAATCCAAAAAGAATAATATATTTCATCTCCTTAGAAGTGACTATATTAGGATACTTGTTGATTTTATATTGTGACTGTAGCTGATAAACCTGTACCTTCATTTAATCATTTTTTAATGGAATGCCTATACTTAGCCAGATTGTAGAAATCTTAATGACTATAAATATAACTTATACTAGATGACCACTGGAGCTATGGACATTTAAGAAAGCTACAGATTGATATTGTTTTACATGTATCTAGGTACACTTGTTACTGTACATTATAATTGAGAGCATAGATATAGCCATATATGGTAATGTAACGTAACCTATAATCCAAAAGTAATTGATACTCAATTTAGAATAAAACTAGGTATACACAATTAAAATTTTAAGAATTTATACCATTTCAAAACAGTAAAGCCACTTTGAAAAGATCTGACCCTGAAAGGGCCCGTAAGCTGTCCCAGCCAATCATTTCTGGTCTTATTTCATACCCTGACTTTCCTAGGTGTATTATTAGATTTTTAAAGCTATTCCCTAAGATATTAAGCATACTAAATGTTTTCCTTTAAATGTTAGCAGGTGGATTTCTGGCAAATTTTTAAAGATGTGGTTAATCTACATGAAATGACCATTCATTTTATGAAATTATTGGGACCTTCTGTTTTTCTTCTGTCTATCCTTTCCTTTTTTATTTGTAAACATTAACCTGCTAACCTAGGAGCGGCATCAACAGAGCCAAGGCTGGTTTTTTTTTCACCTCTGCCCTTGGTGCATGGAGTAAGCCTAATGAGCTTGTCCCATACACTCCTTGGGGATTGAATAGCCTTTCCAGGAAGCCCCAGAAAGGACACCGGGTGAGGGCTTGAAGACCTTTATACCTCGAATACATCTCTTGTTTCATTCTGAGTCAGAACAGAACAAACTTTTCCCCTATTCATATTCAAACCTCTGCTTGATTTAGGATTGCTGTGTATCCATATGCCATTAGTTCCATTTGAATGGAACTAAAAGTTACAGACAAGAACTAGTTTGGTTCTTCTGGGGGACATATTTTTGGTCTCACTGCATGGCATGTTAGTTCCCCAAGCAGGAATTGTACCTGCACCCTCTGCAGAGGGTCTTAACTCTGCACAGAGTCTTAACCATTGGACCACCAGGGAAGTCCCTTTGAACTATGTTGTAACAAGTAGCTTGCATTCTCTTTCTTTAGTTTGAGGGAGCACTGTTCATATATGCCTAAAGCTAAGTTCCTTTTTTCTTTTTTGTAAGTGTTGTCTTGAGTAAGAAAGGCTACTAAGACCATCATTTGAGCTGCGTTTTTAAAAAGCATGAGATTGAATACTAAAGGCAACTACTACCTAAAATTAATCTATGAGCCCAGACTCCTGCAGCCCCTTTGAATAACCTATATTCCTGTTCAGAGGAGGTGAGGGTATATACCTGTAACTGCCTGGCAAAAGGAGTGTTGTCCCGTCTTATGCATCTTTAACTGAAGTGAGAAAAGACCATTCCTGACCTGGTTTAAGATGATGTAAGGAAAACTCTGGAAATCTTTTCCATACAGTTTGAGTATTTAGATTGATATTTTTATGCCCAAATCTCTCATGTTCAGAGAAAAAGTGTATGTTCTCCCATTGGGAGTATCAAGGTAGGGTCAAGGTTTCTTTGCTCTTATCCATTGAAAAAAGAGAGAGAGAGAGAGAGAGAGAGTGTGTGTGTGTGTGTGTGTTTATAATTTTTTAAACTGTTTTTTACTAGGTGTTGCTGGTATAAATTCTACTATAAAACTAAGAATAAATAGGTTTGCCTGCCTATATTGGAACACTAGTTACAGTTAAATATTTATTAAACTAGGATAAGAAAATTGTTCAGTTCATTTTAGTGATGTAGAAAGTAGTGAAGACTGTGAACTATAGACTGGAAAAGTTTCTTCCTTCCAAACTTATTCTAAAATAACCTCTGGTTTAGATCATCCTTTGACGACTAGACTATATCTACAAGTATCTTAGGGTACATTCAAAATATACAGGTTCTCCCCGTAGTGGAATTATGAAACTAATCTGGTTTTAATTTTGCTAGTTGTTTCCCCATCTGGGGAGATTTAAAGGACAATTCTAATCTCCTAGAGTTAAATTGAAGCCAAGAAAGCTTCTGGGACTTCCCATTGCATTCTTTTTTTTTTTTTTTTTTTGGCTGCACGGCGTATGGAATCTTAGTTCCCCAATCAGGGATCGAACCTGAGCCGCCTGCAATGGAAGCATGGAATCTTAACCACTGGACCACCAAGGAAGTCCCCCCACTGCAGTCTTGAATGTGCCTTCCAATGTAGAATTGGATCAGTGTCTCATGTTGATGTGTGTGTCCATACTCAGTGGTGTCTGACTCTTTGTGACCCCGTGGAGTATAACCTGCCAGGCTCTTCTATCCATGGGAGTTCCCTGACAAGAATACTGGAATGGGTTGCCATTTTCTTCTCCAGGGGATCTTCCTAGCCCAGGGATTGAACCCATGTCTCCTGCTTGGCAAGCAGATTCTTTACCACTAAGCCATCTGGGAAGCCCCTCATGTTGATAGCAGTATAGCAATGTGAAAATTACCTTTGGCATCCCTGTCTTATAGGTTAAGAATTGAATCACAGAAATGAAGTGACTTGTCCTTTAATGTGACCCATTAGAAAAGATTGTAAAATAAAGTATATTTTTAAACATATATATTTTTTAAATTGATAAACAGAAATGTCACAGTTTACTTCTCACATGACAACAAAATATTAAACTCTTTAAATGGAAAATTCCATATGTCAGGAGGTACTTCATCTTGTCAGGGCAGCCACAGCCATTGATTTTTGTTTTGATTGGTTTAATCACTATAAGAAGAAGCCATAACCCAGAGGTCACATATTAGTGATACCATAGAGGCCAAATCCAGCCTTGGTAAATGTGTATGATTTGACTTCCCTGGCAGCCCAGTGGTTAAGACTCCACACTACCACTGCAGGGGGCATGGGTTCAATCCCTGGTGAGGAAATTAAGACCCACATGCCTTGAATCCCAGCCAAAAAAAGAAAAAACTTTCCCACGAGAGTCGAGACTTTGTATCTCTCTTGAAATAAAATGGATCATCTCTTGACCCTCAGTCCCAAGTCAAGTGGCCTGGCTGCTTACCCTACTTAGAACAGGGTATGTGTTCTCTAATTCATCACAGTCCCCACCATTTCCATTTTTTTCCATATACCATCCACTTCATATATTTGATACTTGCTTGGCCCCTTTAAGCTTTTTATTAGACATGCCATATCAACAGTGATATCAAATGACTTTCAATTCTCTATTGCTTACACTCCTCCATGAAAAGCTAAGTATCAAGCATCAGAGGTAAATTTTTAAAAATCATTACTGATATATAAAGGCAAGTAGCATAGAACATCATCTATGTATTCAGTGCATGTTGAGCTATCCACCTTACATAAAATGCTAAGAAACCTTTCCTTCATAGTCCTTACAGTCTAATCAAAGAAATAGACCATGTCCACATTACAGTACAAGGTTAAATATAAGGAATGATGAGAGATATTGGGAGTTGTGAGAGTTGATGGTAGTTGGTCTTGACTAAAAAGATGAGGACAGTTTTCATAGCAGCAACTCTTAGCAGTAGCAGCACTGTTGCTGGTCCTCAACAGTGAGTTTAATTTCAAGAGACTGTTGTAAATCAATCTTGGCACCACAGATCAGGGAACTGCTAATGATTTGGTTCAGCAAGAGAAGAGTATGAGATAAGGTGATTAAAAAAAAGTAGAAATCTTTGTTTTAGGCTATGAAGTTTAGACTTTATTTGGAAGCAATGCAGGGTCTTTGAAAATTTAAATTATTAAATAGAAGAGCTACATTCTCAGAGTTTTACATTGGAAGGTTAATCTGAAGCATTCAGTGTCTAGGACAAGTTTACATATGAAGTAGGTGGTAAAATAGATGCATTAAGATTCTCTTCAAATGGGTCAAGTGAGAAAGAATTGAAGTCTACCCTTTAGTGGGAATAGATAAAGAGAAAAATAATGAGGTAAATATTGGTATAACTTGGCAACTGATTAGAGAGCATACTGAGGTCTTTTGCCTGGATTGATTTCTTTTTTTAATTCTAAACACCTTTTTACCTTAGAGTTTACCATTAGGGCTGATGAGTGATTATAGGCACGAGTTTGTGCCATTAGATGCTCATAGTTTGCTTTCATATTTTAAATATTACTCACCCAGGATTTAAATACCCATTCAGTTATGGTAAGAAAACAATGCAAAACCACCCATAGAGCCAGCCATTGCACAGGAGAAATTGGTGCATCTGTTAGTTTACTTCACCTGTGTTTTGCTCTTCGTGTTGGCAACAATTCGTATTTAAGGAGATCCAATCTAATCAAATAATCTAGAAAAGAAAGATTTAAAAACAAAAAATCTTTGCCTGAAATAAGAATCCTTATAAAGTCGATTGCATATCAACAACCATTTTCATGCTAATACTCCTAAAGACACTCTTGTTAATAGGAAAGCTTTGTAGTATTGGAAATCAGGGATAACATTACTCTCTTTCTTCAGCATATCTGAGTATGATCATATGTATATAAAATTCTAAATTTAATTGGTCCTCATGGTTGTTTAGTTGCTATGTCATGTCTGACTCTTTGTGACCCCAGGGACTGTAGGCCACCAGGCTCCTCTGTCCATGGGATTTTCCAGGCAAGAATACTGAAGTGGGTTGCCATTTTCTTCTCCAGGGGATCATCCCCATCCAGGGATCGAACCCACGTCTCCTGCATTGCAGGCAGATTCTTTACCACTGAGCCACCTGGGGAGCCCTTAATTGGTCCTTGCCACACATCAGTTTTGCTCTATAAGTTTGATGTGCTGAATGCAAGAAACCTTCCGAAATAAATGGATAGGAAAAAAATTCTGTCCCAGCTGTATGAGTGATTTAACTTCTTTATTCTCCCCTAGATACAATGAAGCAGTCTACCAAAGAACTTGAAAAAATAAATGATTAATGGGAATAGTTGCCCTTTTTCCATTGCCTTCCAAGAATAACTGGGTTACTAGTATGCACGCAAATATGTGCACATCTGTGTGGTCAAATTGGACTGCCCTGGTTCTGTGGGGAAAACCTGAAGATAACCCTGGAGGTGAAATAGATGTTTGATACGATAGAGATGTCCTTCGGGATGAGAGTCTCTTAGGCATTCTCTCGCTCACTCTGCTAACACCACAGCACAGGAGTTCCGTAGTGACACTGGATCCACAGCATTAGGTCATCTAAAAGTAGCTCATTAGGTATTTGTGCTTGACCAGCTGGAGTTACTGCAAAACCTATTGAGACCCTGAAACTCCAGCTTCGTGAGTAGGTAAGTTTAAGAGAAGACAACTAACCTATGGTCATTGTTGCTTCTTCATTCAAACTGGATGTATCTCTTTTTGTAATGTAAAATCAAACTCTGCAGCAAGTAGCCAACAATCTGAACTGTCAGTTATACAGTTGTTTCTGGTTCATATGCATTTTGCTTAATTCTTTTTGTCTTGAAAGCAAAATTCTTATTACAAATGTACTTCTGTGCATTGTGTACTTCTTTTAATAACAGATTTTAATAAACCATTTCTCTTTAAGCATACAAACGGCTAGACGGTTCAACTGAATGCTGTAACAATCACAGCCTTACAGATGTTTGCTTTTCCTATAGAAATAATTTTAATAAGCGTTTGGTAAGTTGTCCCTGAAACAGTCTTGATTGTCTGATATAATTATATAATCATGTAGAACTAAAATACAATCCTTGAAAGCATTGCCTGTTTGGTTTATACCATTTTATTAAGATCTCTATATTTCACATGTCATATTTCATCTGAGAATCTTTAAAATGTTTATAATAATAATATCTTGTTTGGCCAGAGTAGAATAATTGAATCTAATTTATAGTAGAGATATATGAATGGCATTTCCTTCATTGAACTTCATTCCTAATATGATTGGTGACATGAAAGATATTGAAAGAATTTAACTTGGTGTTTTGCTTGTTAATGAATCATTTTTAGTATTGACTAATTGATGTTCTGTCCCTAGCATACATGTCTACCTGCCCGGAAAGCAGTTGAAGCCACCCAAGTTTGTAGAACCAATAAAGACTGTAAAAAAAGCTCAAGTTCAAGTTTCTGTATAATACCTTCTTTGGAAACTCATACGCGCTTAATAAAAGTGAAACACCCACCTCAAATTGATATGTTATATGTAGGACATCCACTGCACCTTCACTACACAGGTGAGTTTTATTGTGGTAGACCCTCAGACATCGCTATGATGGCCTATATTCTCACTGGTAGAAACTCAGTACACACCTTGCATTAATTTCATTTGTTTGATCAGTTTTCAAAATCTTGTTAACTTTTTCTTAAGCATTAAATGAAATTTAAGCAGTAGGAAAATAATCTGAATTTATAAAGCAAGATGGAGCTAAACCCCATGTCTACTTATGGAGAAAGACATATTTTTTCTTCACTACCATTTATGTCCAAGTCATATAGATTAACTCTCAGATATTCTCTAAGCATTTATTTAATTTCTCCAAGCTCCCAAATCAGTAGCAAAAGTAGCATATGCCAGAAAATGCCAGTAATATAGTGATAATGATGATAAAGTAATTTGTGAATAACACATGAATTTTATATGAATATAATTTCAGAATCAGACCAGCGTAATTGTTTTAACAGTGGCAACATGATTGGATTAAATATATAGCTTTTCCATATGGCTCAAGATCATACAGAAGAAGTATGCCACAAAGATCTTAAAGACCCGGATAACCACGATGGTGTGATCACTCATCAAGAGCCAGACATCCTGGAGTGCAAAGACAAGTGGCGGTGATGGAATTCCAGCTGAGCTATTTCAAATCCTAAAGGATGATGCTGTGAAAGTGCTGCACTCAATACACCAGCAAGTTTGGAAAACTCAGCAGTGGTCACAGGATGGGAAAAGGTCAGTTTTCATTCCAATCCCAAAGATGAGCAATGCCAAAGAATGTTCAAACTACCACATAATTGTACTCATCTCACACACTATCAAAGTAATGGTCAAAATTCTCCAAGTGAGGCTTTAACAGTTCATGAATTGTGAACTTCCAGATGGTCAAGCTGGATTTAGAAAAGGTAGAGAAACCAGAGATCAAATTGCCAACATCCATTGGATCATAGAAAAAGCAAGAGAATTCCAGGAAAACATCTACTGCTTTATTGATTATGCCAAAGCCTTTGACTGTGTAGATCACAACAAAGTGTGATCAGTGTGATCAGTTTTCAACAAAGTGGAAAATTCTTCAAGAGATGGGAATACCAGACCACATGACCTGCCTCCTGAGAAATCTGTATGCAGGTCAAGAAGCAACAGTTAGAACTGGACATGGAACAACAGACTGTTTCCAGATTGGGAAAGGAGTATGTCAAGGCTGTATATTGTCACCCTGCTTATTTAACTTAAATGCAGAGTACATCATGCGAAATGGCAGGCTGGATCAAGCACAAGTGCCGGGAGAAATATCAATAGACTCAGATACGCAGATGACACCACCCTTATGGCAGAAAGCGAAGAGGAACTACAGAGCCTCTTGATGAAAGTGAAAGACGAGAGTGAAAAAACTGGCTTAAAACTCAACATTAAAAAAATGAAGATCATGGCATCTGGTCCCATCACTTCATGGCAAATAGATGGGGAAACAATGGAAACAGAGACACTATTTTCTGGGCTCCAGAATCGCTGCAGATGGTGACTGCAGCCATGAACTTAAAAGACGCTTGCTCCTTGGAAGAAAAGCTATGACCAACCTAGACAGCATATTAAAAAGCAGAGATATTACTTTCCTATCAGAGGTCCATCTAGTCAAAGCTATGGTTTTTTCAGTAGTCATGTATGGGTGTGAGAGTTGGACTATAAAGAAAGTTGAGTGCTGAAGAATTGATGCTTTTGAATTGTGGTGTTAGAGAAGACTCTTGAGAGCCCCTTGGACTGCAAGGAGATCCAACCAGTCCATCCTAAAGGAAGTCAGTCCTGAATATTCATTGGAAGGACTGATGCTGAAGTTGAAGCTCCAATACTTTCGCCACCTGTTGCGAAGCACTGGCTCACTGGAAAAGACCCTGATACTGGGAAAGATTGAAGGCGGGAGGAGAAGGGGATGACAGGATGAAATGGTTGGATGGCATCACTGACTCAATGGACATGAGTTNTGGACTATAAAGAAAGCTGAGCACTGAAGAATTGATGCTTTTGAACTGTGGTGTTGGAGAAGACTCTTGAGAGTCCCTTGGACAGCAAGGAGATCCAACCAGTCCATCCTAAAGATCAGTCCTGGATGTTCATTGGAAGGACTGATGTTGAAGCTGAAACTCCACTCTTTGGCCACCTGATGCAAAGAGCTGACTCATTTGAAAAGACCCTGATGCTGGGAAAGATTCAGGGCAGGAGGAGAAGGGGATGACAGAGCATGAGATGGTTGGATGACATCATCGACTTAATGGACATGGATTTGTGTAGACTCCGGGAATTGGTGATGGACAGGGACCCTGACATGCTGCGGTTCATGGGGTCGCAAAGAGTCGTTCAAGACTGAGTGACTGAACTGAACTGAACTGGACTGCAAGGAGATCCAACCAGTCCATCCTAAGGGAAGTCAGTCCAGAATATTCATTGGAAGGACTGATGCTGAACCTAAAGCTCCAATACTGTGGCCACCTGATGCAAAGAACTGACTCATTTGAAAAGACCCTGATGCTGGGGAAGATTGAAGGCAGGAGGGGAAGGGGATGACAGAGGATGAGATGGTTGGATGGCATCACCAACTTGATGAACATATGAGTTTGAGCAAGCTCCGGGAGTTGGTGATGGACAGGGAAGCCTGGCGTGCTGCAGTCCATTGGGTTGCAAAGAGTCGGACACGACTGAGCAACTGAAATGAACAAGATTATACAGTCTAACTTATTTTGTTGTATAAGATTTTTATATGTTACCTTTTTAATAACTTTTACTGAAATATAATTCACATATCATATAATTTACCCTTTTAAAGTATACAGTTCAGTAGTTTTTAATATATTCAGAGTTGTAGAACCATCAGCACAATCTAGTCCCAGTATTTTTTCATCACTGCAAAAAAAGCCTATACCAATTAGGAACCTATTCTACTTCTCAACACCCACCCACCCCATCCCTTGGCAACCACTTAATCTACTTCTGTTTCTGTAAATTTGCTTGTTTCCACACATTTCCTATAAATAGAATATTTTGTGATTGGATTCTTCCACTTAGCATAATGTTTTCAAGGTTCACCCATGTTGTGGTTTGTGTTGGTGCATCATTCCTTTTTTATGGTGAAGTAATATTCCATTGTATGGATATATTACTTTTTCTGTATTTATTCATCAATTGATGGACATGTGGGTTTTATGTTACTCTTTAAAAGGCTCTCTCATTGCTCTGTAGTCATATCTTAAGATACAAGTCAGGTCATTCTTCTCATTTATTGTTTTGACACTAGGTGTCTCTGGAGTACAGATATTATATACATCTTCAACAAATGTAGAAATAACCCTCTTCAAGGTAATTTTCAAGAAATGTGTGCTATGAGTTCTATTTAATTATAACAGTTTTTAAGTGTTTTAAGAAAAACAGAATAATGGAATCCACAAAGTGAAGGAAATCGTAAAAATCCCCTAGTATTAATCCTTTTTTTAGCAATGAAGAAAACACTGAGACCAAAAAAGATTAAGTCACATAATAGTTGGAGTGAACATGATTTTAAGGTTATACCTCTTTGAAAAGATAAGAACTGTTTTGATATAAATTCTAGTGTAAAGTCATTCTCTGTATTTGGTAGTCATAGTTGGTATATAATCAGTTTTTATTTTAGTCTCACCTCACAATATAAATGTACATTGAGACATGAATTTCTGTATCCCACTCTTTTTATTAGATGTTCTAGAATTGTTGATTTACTTTTATAGTTGGGCCATCGAGCCTGTCTGCATATGTTTGGGTAGGGCTTTCTCAAATCAGTTTAATAGGCTAATCCAGTCTTGACCCACATAGTAAAATTCTTTATTCTGTTGCTTATCTGTATAAATGCTATTAATTATTTCTTATTTTTCTTTTTTAGTGAGCATCACCAGTTTTATCCCACGTTTCAAGTTTCTAAGCATAGATCTGCCTGTGGTTGTGGAGACATTTGTCAAGTATCCTTTCTGGTGTGAAAGATATTTTAAAAGTGTGCTACTTGGAACTTGATGAGTTTTACCTTGACTAGAGAGCTTGAACAGACCTTACAAGTATCAATCTACTGCTAATACAAAAAAAAATGGATTTTAACGTTGAGAAAGATCAGATTGTACCTAGGAAGGAAGAAGTCAAAGAAGAGAAATTGATTGGGAAGAGAGAAAGGTTAAGGTGTGGAAGGGAAAGAACCTAGAAGACAAATTGAGAGTTGAAATTTAGAGGTCTAAAACCTTGGAGTATGTTTATAAAGGATGAAGTCTTCAGCTACTAAATGAGGCGCTATGTTCCACCCCTCCTGAGCTTGTTGACTCTGACCAAATGGAGGAATGCATAAGGGGCATCAAACTGATTTCCACTACTGAAATAGCACTCCACAGAATCTCATGTGTTCTTTAGCATATTATGTTTGCATATAAAGAGATTTTTAATTGGTTATTATATAGAATTTGAATATATTTGAACAGTTTGAAAAGGTTCTTTATTTTTGTCACTTTTAAATTTTAATTTTGAAAAAAAAAATCTTTAATTTCTTTCCTTAATGATTTCAAAAAATCAGAGACAGAAAGTAAATGAGCAAATATTAGTTAACAAATGAGTCACTGAAAAAAGGACACAGTCAAAATTGTACCTTGTAGACTGCAGCTTTATCTCAGAGATATTTACACTATGACCTTACAGATGATAGTAAAATAGAGTTCAAGGGACTAAAATCTTTATAAATCTAAGCTATACTTTGTAAGGATTGAAGAGGAATTTTTCCCCATTTCTTATTCTTTCCATATTCCTTTCTCTTGTATCATTAAAGAGAAAGTCTTTCAAGGAATTCATTACAGACTGCCTCAGTGTACAGGTGGTTGGCCTTCATTTTTTTGTCAAGTTTTTTTAACTTTGAAATAATACAAATCATTTGTTTTAAATAGAGATCTAAGAAGCAATAGCATTTACTGGTGGGCAGAGATTTTAAAAAAGGAGAGAAGTCACCTGTAATCTCAAATCCACTCCTTGTAAAATGCGCGCTTCTGACTCCCAGAAATGGCTTTGCATGCAGACTTCACAGTAGGTTCCTTAACTGATTGCAACCAGGTACCTCATCTCCCTCTCGGGAGCACTGGCAATTGTTAATGCAGTGCCCTGCTTTGCTTTAGACGGACAGTGGATTTTAAACTCTTTCCTAGATGCTACTCTTACCTCAGTGATTGGAGACAATGATGTCAAAGATCTGATAGGATTTTTCATCTTGCTTGGTGGCAGTTTACTTTTGGCTGCCAATGTGACCCTGGGCCTCTGGATGGTTACAGCACGGTAATATTTGGACTCATCTGATAGAATCTCTGAGTTACAATATATAGTACTGAAAACCTTACTTGGTATGAAATAACTGTTTCCTTAAAATTGCATTTTAGCCAACAACTTTAAATTCTTTATTCAGCATATCCAAACTCTGGGACCGGGGTGAAACAGAAGAAATGAAAGAGATACTCCATGATTACATTCTAGTTTTACAGACTGAACCTACAAACTTCAGATGCTTGTGGAACAACTGAAACAAGTGCAAATTCATGTTAAACCATTTTTGTGTGACTACATACTGTATTGAAATACTGTAAAGGAAAACAGAATTGGGTAGGATTAATTGAGAAAAAACTTCCTGAAAAAGCATCATTAATTCAGATTTGAAGAAAACCAGACTTTGGCCCAGTGGGAAGGTGAGCATTTTCTTGGTCTATATTTCTTGTCTTTAGTCTTGTTGGAAAAGTATTTTAAAATTCAGTGGTATGTTGGTGGCTTAGATGTTAAAGAATTCGCCTGCAATGCTGGAGACCTGGGTTCAATCCCCAGGTCGGGAAGATCCCCTGGAGAAGGGAAATGGAGAAGGAAATGGCAACCCACTCCAGTATTCTTGCCTGGGAAATCCCATGGACAGAGGAGCCTGGCAGGCTACAGTCCATGGGGTTGCAATGAGTCAGACACAACTAAGCAACTAACACACATTGTTTTGTACTCTTGACAACTGAGGTCTGATTACAATTAATATAATTCTATAAGAGAAACTGCCAATGCAAAAGGGAACATCTTTGTTAAATGATCCCAGTAAATGAACACCTCGGAAGTAGACTCTATAATATCATGAGACATGCCTTGCCACCCAAGAGTTGCCTCTTTGATAATATGCCCCCATACCCGCATAAAGCAGCAGCAGCCTTGACATTCAGAATGAGCTGTAGGAAGTATCTCCTACCTGCAGCATATGAGCTTGAGACAGTTAGGGGTGAACCTCAAAACTGAGCCAGCTGGCTCTTGGCAGCAGATCACAAGACAGATCACAGAACCTTGTGCAGTCCTGGTTACCTTTCTCTACAAGCTTCAAAGCTTGGAACCGCTCCAGAATAGACATTTTCTCTTGTGCTGCCGGGGCTACCTTGGACCTAGTTCCTAGGCTCCTGTCTTCAAGAAGCAATTACTCTAAGCCATGAAGCATACTCTGTCCTCACAAATGTCTTCCATGTTTTTCTGTGTTGGGGAATTAAATACTTAGTTCTTCCTTTCTGCCTTTCCCCTAAGCTACCTCTGTGAGTCCACAAAAGACTTGGTAGTAGAGTGAGAATGGCTAGGTGTGAGAACAAATGTGCATTTGCTGGAGCCTGGTAACTGACTCTTGAGCCCGAAAGAGCCCTGCCTAGTTTGAGATCTTTCAAACTGGTGCTGCAGCCCTGGAAGATCTAGGAAGTCAATAGGCCAGTGTGAAGCTATTAGTAATAAAAGTATATGAGCATGCTGTTGCTTTGATGTAAAATCTGTGCTCTCATATACTAAAAAACATTAATAGTCCTGTATCCAACTTTTTCTCTAAGTGAGATATTCAAGGGGTTCACCTCTTTCAGATTCCTTAGTTGCTCTTAGGCAATAAAACTTTTTAATCATTTTTAAGGAAACTTTAGATTGTGTTATAAATCTGCCTGCCTTCTTGAAGAGAAATTGTATATTGAATATAATTTTAATATTTTTTAAATGACCTCTATTACCACTACTTAAAAACTGTACAAATTATTGGTTTATCCCAGGGAAAAAGCATTTGTTCTATTCTCAGGCAGACAGTCTTTCAGGATTAAAGTATATTAGCAGAGTAATGCACAGACCTATTCAGGTAATAAAGCTTGAGGACTACCATGAAATACTTATATTATTGATTTGATTACATGAACTAAGCAGTTTACTAATGGAATTGCTATATACATGCATGTCATTTTTTTAAAAACTGAGAAAAAATTTAATAGATGAAATCTTACCCATAAACTCCTTTCTCTGGATGAAAAAAAACAACAAGCACATCATTTTCTTATGGCTTTTAAACACCTTGGTCTTCTGCTCCATTGGGTCAGAATTTGGGAACAGTCTATTAGGATATTGAGCTGTTCAGTCCTGTTTTTACAGAAATAGCCTCATTGTGTAAGAAAGGAAATGTTATGTGTTGTCTCTTCAGCCTCATTGTGGGCACTTCTAGAGCAAGGACCATGTCATACTTACCTTTCTATCCCTGGTACAAAAGTGCATGAGACATCAAAACTACTTAATAAATGTGGTTGAATGAATGATGTTTAGTGTTATTTATGGATTAGAAAAGCATGTTTCTATTTAAGTAAGCTGTAAAAAGTGTTATTGAATATTTCATGTAAATATATGTTAACATAAAAAAATATCTTGGAAGATCTTTGTGTCCCTGGTAGATTATCATCTTTATGAATATAATTCACTTTGGTTTCTGTAGAGCCACCTAAAAAATGAATTGTATTAAGGATTTGAAGAAAGTGTTGTCACTTGTTCAACAGTAAAACTGTGTTTTCAGCGTTCCTACTCTGCATTGTTTACATTTTTGAGGGTTGTTTTTAATCACTTAAAACCTGTAAAGAATGTATATATCCTTTTCAGCATCTCTGTTTGAAAAGACATTCAGTTAAACTTGACCTTTTGATAACTGGTCTTATAAGTCATCTGTTCCAATGGTAAATTGTTTAAACTGGGCTTTATGGGTATGTGGCTCTTAGTCATCAGTTTGTCCTGTGGTATTTATTGAATGTCCACATACTAGTGGCACACAGGTATTTTTTTCTATAAATCTTACAACTAAGTTTAACTTGAAGATACCATAGTTGCTGGCATTCAATGTTTAGCAATAAAAATAAATGTGTACCAGCATTCTATGTTTTATCATCTATGTGTTGTCTTTTTTTTTATTTGTATTCTTTTCTGTCAAAATTGTTCCTTTCACATATAGTACAATCTTAGATGTTTTAAAATTCTTGATTCTAAATGCAGGCCTCAGTTTTCACTTAAGCAATCATGAAAGTTGTTGACAGGTCACAGAAAGAAGTCTTTGTTTAACGTGAAATCCCTGTGCTCTCACTACTGTTTTCGAAATGGCTTGCTTATTCATGGGTGAGGAAAGAAGACTATCATGTTTCATTACTGTGTGACAGAAGTCTTCTCTAAGTTAGGTTATGTTTTTAGGAATTCATGAGAAGAAGTGTTTTAACTATGATATTTGGTTCTTCACTTTTTGCCCTGGTGCTTCCTACCATGTTCACAGAGCCAACCTCCCAGACAAATACACACACTCTCTCTCTCTCCTCTTCCCTCTCTTCCTCTCATTGTTTGGTCACTAAGGGCCAAATAAAACAGCCTGGGGATTTAACCCACTTCCTGATTGGTCGGCCCTCATTTCACTCCTCCTCTTTGCCTCTGATCCCATTATGCTACAGTGAAGACCCACAAGACTAGATGATTGATTTTCTATCAGCTTTACTGAGATATAATTAAACACTATTAAGTTCAGCTGTTTAAAGCATACACTACAATGTAGACTGTTTTTCTTTTAATAACTCATCAAATAATACTAAACATATGCTTTAGTATAATCTAACTTTTTAAGTACTTGAACATGTGATAAAAGACAGGAAGAAAAAAAACTATTTCACAGCTATGTGAATTCTGGGAATGATTTTCACCATTGGAATAGAGTTGGGTAACAAATTTATTTTTAAGGTAAAGCATGTGGATATGCTTATTGAGACAGTAAGCCTTTTAAAATCAGCGCATATGCAAGCTACACTTGCTGTTTAGGCCATACTAATTTGAATAATCCATTGTATATTTTATCAGACCATGGCAAATGAATTCAATGAGGGGAAGGCCTCTTATTTCACAACCTAATGCTACAATAGGTTATATTCAGGGTGGAGGTAGAAAAAATAGCTAAAGGAAGTTACAGTTCTAATTACCAACCAGGTTATATTGTGTAGTTTGATTTCCCATTACAGAAAGAAAAAATACCCTTATATCTTAATTTTATTTAGCTAAAGATCAATGGATATTCAATAAATGTCCCTTCTTATTATCTGTGTGTTTCTCAGACTTTTGTACTTAAGTGCTCTATACACTGTAGAGGTGGGAAAACTCTGAAGTATCTAAGAGTTTAACCTTGTAATTGGCTCTCCATCCTATAAAATTGAAAATCACTTTATGTTGCCTTTTCTTTTAAAATTTGACTTTGCTGGCATGTGTGATCTAGTTCCCCAACCAGGGTTAGAACCTGGGCCCTGCTTTGGGAGCATGGAGTCTTAGCCACTGGACCACCAGGGAAGTCCCTCACTTTGTCTTAACTTCTTGTGAATTTTACATTCCATTAATCAGGCATCAGGAAGCCAGTCCTCTTCTTAAAGATATGAAACTCTAAACTGTAAAAAAATTAGATGCTAAGAATATTAAGATTTTCTTCATGTCTAAAACACATTGGTAGATTCTTGGCAGTCCAGTGGTTAAGACTTGGCACTTTGACTTCCATGGCCTGGGTTCAATCCCTGGATCTGGGAACTAAGACCTGGCAAGCTATGCAGTGCAACTAAAAAAAATAAATAAAACACACTGGTAGAAATTAGTTTATAACAGCTGGTCTATAGACTAGTGACAGTCTATGTTGGTGTCCTTGGATCCATAGTGAAATAAAGATAATGTGTGTGTTGTTAAAACATTACCTGCTGCCCTTTATCAAAGAGCTCTCCTTTATTTGGGGTATGGAAATACAACAATTTCACTTAGCACTTAATGGCTCTCTGTAACTGACACATTCACTGGCAAGGTGTGAGGCTTTCATGTTTACCTACATCCTCACCTCCTCCTGAATTATCTGATTTCCATGTTCTGTCAAATTCTTTGATGCAAAATGGCATTTCTTTTAAATTTGCATTTCTCATATTATTAATAACGTTGCACATCTATATTTGCTTAGCCATTTGGACTTTTCATTCTGCTAATTGCTTATTGTTATCCTTCATTCAATTTTCCATCGAGCATCCTAAATTTTTCTTATTGATCCATAGGAATTTTTTATACAGTCTATATTAGGGACTGACAGACTACAACTTGAAAGCCAAATCCTTCTCACCAGCTATTTTTATAAGTTTCTATTGAAACACAACCATATTCTTTCAGTTTTATATTGTCTATGGCTGCTTTCATGATATCGGAGAAGACAATGGCACCCCACTCCAGTACTCTTACCTAGAAAATCCCATGGACGGAGGAGCCTGGTAGGCTGCAGTCCATGGGGTCGCTAGGAGTCGGACACGACTGAGCGACTTCACTTTCACTTTTCACTTTCATGCATTGGAGAAGGAAATGGCAACCCACTCCAATGTTCTTGCCTCAAGAATCCCAGGGACGGGGGAGCCTGGTGGGCTGCTGTCTATGGGGTCGCACAGAGTCGGACACAACTGAAGTGACTTAGCAGCAGCAGCAGCTTTCATGCTATAACAAACAGGGTTGAACAGGTGTGATAGAGACCATATGACCCATAAAACCTAAAATATTTGCTATTTACAGAATAACCCATGATCTAGATATCAACTCTTGTCCATTTCAGATGTTGCAAATAATTTTTCCTAGTCTATCACCCATCTGTAAATTTTGATTTATGAGATCCTTTGTTGAACAAGGATGTTTAGTTTGATGTAAAGTCTGTTAATTTCTTGATTCATTGTTTGTATTTTGTGAGTCTTACAAAGTTCTGTCCTGTCCCAAAGTCATAGCAATATCCTACACTTTCTTCTCTATGCTTTAGAGTTGTACTTTCACAATGTGATCTTTGATTTCTAGAATATATGGTTTGAGGTAGGAAATCCAGGTTTATTTTTCTGTATGAAATGAACTGTCTTTAAAATAGATGTAATAGTATTTTCTTTATAAGATGTTAAATAAAACAGTTTACATAAAGTTCTGCATATGGTGCCTAACATACTCAAGTTACTGCTATGTACGTAAACTACTTTCAGAATGCAGAATTATTACATAAGTTTGCCCTCATATCTCAGTCCACACTGGCATTAGATCTTGCCTCCTTTTGGTCTGCCATTTTGGTTTCCAGTGCCTTCGAGCTAGCTCTGGTTGTCCAGTGTATATCCTCAGGACTTGACCCTTTTAAACATTTCTTCCTCCAATCAAAATGGACCTAATATCATGTTGAAGATGTTAACTAAGGATTTTGTTCACTGAAGCTATTTAAAATAACCTGTGTTTATGGGTATATTCATATGATGATAGTAACACGGACATTTAAATCTGGTCTTACCCAAACTGTCTTAACTCAAAAGAAGGCACTATGATGGACCAATACAAGAGAGAATTCGGGACAGAATAGACTTTGAGGACTAAATCAGATAATATAAAGCTGTACAAAGTCTGGGATATTGCATTTCAAAGTAAGTTTTTTTTTTAACAAGTTATTTTACACTTTTTTGGTTAGAAAAGATGCCAAACTACTTTTTTAAATTTATTTTTTACTTGGAGTATCATTCCTTTCACAGTGATTCGTAAACTTCTTTTTTTTAATGTCTGTTTTTTTGTAGAAATTTTTATCCACATCCTTTGCCCATATTTCTCTGCAGTGATTATCACCTTCTTCTTGCTTCTCATCATTCAAGACTCACATTTTCACAATGGGTTTGCAAATATATTGGACCGTACCTTGACTTCTTTTCCAGGTCCTTGACTTTCATACTTTATTCCTAGCATTCTTTCTTCCCTTTCACCCACTTTGTTTCCACCTTTAATGGCTTTTAATTTTCTTCCTAGGGCTTATGTGTCACCAGCAATCTACAGGGGGAGGTAGCACTTAGCAATGTACAGAACATTCACTTCTCCAGTTCAGGCCATCCCCTTTTCTGTTACAGAGATACCTGGGAAAAAGAGGTTGGTAATTAGGAGTTTGCTTTGGGAATATAGAATTAGAGCAGAAGGAGATAGATAATGTAACTTGGGGACCTTTATAGACTATTTCTTACTAGAGAAGAAATGTAAGTTCATTATAGAAAATATGTTAAATGAAAGTAAATTTCTTGAAAAAAAAATAGCATATATTGTAATTGGTAAACTGCTTTTTAAACTTGACAATGTATTACAAGCATTTTTTAATATTATTAATAGTCTAGTTGTTTTAATGGATATATAATATTCCAGTGTTAAATATACCATAAATCAATCAGCAACCCCTATTATTTCCAATTTTGTGATATTATAAACAAAGCTGTGAGGAATATCTTTATAACCAAAACTTTCTGTATATCTATGATTTTGGATAATTCCAGAAATTTTCAAGATAATACTGAAAAGAAAAATTGCAATCTTGAAATTGAACAAAGTTTTATATGTACATATTGCCTTGTTGCATTTACATTCTTTTGTGTTAATTGAGTAAGGAAAAATGGCATCTCATTTTAATTCACATTTCTTTGATTGTAAAAGAGGTTAACAGTTTTAAATGTATTGGCCATTGTATTTTTATTTATCCCCATCCTTTGCCCATTTTGCACGGCAGTGATTATTGTCTTCTTACTGCTTTTCCTCATAAGCTCAGCTCCACCATTTGATTTGTTATATGTGAATATATTAAAACATCATTTAAATATAATGCTTATTGTTATGTTTTCACCTATTAGAGTCTGTCAATCTTTGCCTTATGCTTTCCATTTTTGACGATGTGTTTTGAATGTCTTCTTAAGATTTTATAAATATTCATAAACATTTTCTTGCAATAATTTTATGATTTCATTTTTCAAGCATTCACATTGTTGATCTACATGCAGTATATTTTGATGATGGTGCAAAGTAGGCATATAACTTTGTGATTTGCTATCTCCAAATGA